CAGCACTTGTCTTTGAGTGTTGTAGCTCACAAAAACCCTCCCAAAGAACAGGTTCTACCATCTAGGTACTGCATAGGCACACCACCACTTGCTCTTTTTGTCTTTTGTGTTCAGTTTTGGTTGGTTTTCACCACTGAACCACACTTTGACTCACACTGTCTTTATGTCGCAACAGGCATACATGTTGCTATTGATGGGCCTGTCCATGTGTTGTGACCATGTAATTGATATTACTGATGGGCCCATCTCATGTTGTGACAGGGGCATATCTTACTAGATGGGCCCTTCCATATGTTGTGATGCTATAAATGATATTACTGATGGGCCCAGTCTTTATGTTGTGACAGGGGCACATCTTACTAGACAGGCCCATCCATGTGTTGTGACACTGTAAATGATATTACTGATGGGCCCATCTTTATGTTGTGACAGGCATACATGTTGCTATTGATGGGCCCATCCATGTGTTGTGACACTGTAAATGATATTACTGACAGGCCCATCTTTATGTTGTGACAGGCATATGTGTTGCTATTGATGGGCCCACCCATGTGTTGTGACCATGTAATTGATATTGCTGAAAGGCCCATCTTTATGTTGTGATGTGGGTGCATCTTACTAGACAGGCCCATCTATGTGTTGTGACACTGTAAATGATATTACTGATGGGCCCATCTTTATGTTGCAACAGGCATACATGTTGCTATTGATGGGCCTGTCCATGTGTTGTGACCATGTGATTGATATTACTGATGGGCCTGTCTATGTGTTGTGACACTGTAAATGATATTACTGACAGGCCTGTCTTTATGTTGTGGCAGGGATGCATCTTACTAGATGGGCCTGTCTATGTGTTGTGATGCTGTCAATGATATTACTGATGGGCCCATCCTTATGTTGCGACAGGTGTGCATCTTGCTATGGATGGGCCTGTCTAGATGTTGCAACACCATAAATGATATTACTCCCAGGCCTGTCCATATGTTGCCAACTCTGTAATCTATCATAGATGGGCCCCTCTTTATGTTGTGACCCTATAAAGCATATGACAAGCAGGCCTGTCCATATGTTGCAACCTTCTTCATGATACAATAGGCAGGCCTGTCCATGTCTTACAGTAGCTTAGCATACTTACTTGGTCACAGGCCCATCTATATGTTGCAGCATCCTTACCCTCCACAGGCCCTCCCATATGTTGTGGAATTGCATTTACAGGCCCATATGTATGTTGCTCTCACTATAGGCCCTCAGGCCTGTCCATGTGTCATGGCTAATCTATTTAGATGGGCCCATCGTGGGGTCTATATAAGTGTTGGCATTTTGGCATGCAGGCTACCTACATGCTGTGACTAAATGGACTACATGGGGTCTGTTGCTGGACTCCTTGTTCTTTTGGAATCAGATCAGGAGCCAGAAACAAAGAGTAGTCACAAGTAGACTGATTCAGAGACTCACACTCTCCTTGACTACCTCATTGAACACTGGTTGGAACAAGGTGATACAGGCAACTTCAAATCCAGTGTATTTTCTAGTGCCACTGCTGCGATCGCTCCACCTAACTCGCCCCCCACAAGAACTGCTCAGCAGATTCAAAATAAATGGCAATGGGTAAGTGCATCCTCCTCACACTGATAGCCTTGACTGATATTGTTATTAGTTGAAAGGGATCTATAATTCCATTGAAGGCTTCATTCAATGCTCTGGGTCTGGCTCATGGGATGAACATTTTGGTGCCAATATCATCACACCAGCTGAAGAGAATGTATGGAATAGCTACATTGCAACCAATGTACATTGTCCCCTATCATTGAGTGTATCAGTTCATCTAACATGAATACATCAGAGTGGACAATGTATCCTGCCCTATAAAAATGTGGGATGGCCATTTTATGTGAAGATGGCACAGATCACCCCATCAGGAGGGGCACAAGGTGCTAATGCATACACACCATTGGAGGCCCCCTCATCCAACTGGCCCCCAAATTGGCTTGAGGATGAAGATCAAGAAACATGGCTAGGTAACTTCAACAAGCCTTCCAACAGTAACATCAGTAGCATGAACCCAGCTCCTGATCCCTCATATATTGACTTCATGGCTGAATTTCCCACATTTTTTCCCAACCCTTCACACCCTCATCCACTGATTCCATCTGCATCACCCAGCATCTCAGCACCCATTGTGGTCCTGACTCAGGGGGTGGGCACACCGTCAACCAGCATCCCAGCATACCCTCCCTTCCCGATGAAGGGGCTGGGCATGTCTTCAGGGAGCGTCAGTAGGACTGGTAAGGAGAGACACACATTTTCCTCTGGGCCCTATCCAACTTTGTACACTTCTACCCCACCCCCATCGTGTAAACCATCTCATGGGTCTGGTTGGTCATCTGCCCAGTCCTTTGGTCCTCCTAGGAATCAACAGCCAATTCTGCCCAAACTCTCAGCTGGGACTGCAGTGTTTGGTCTGACTGGTGCTGTCAACCACATGACTGATCTCCTCAGTTTGATATACCATGACAGTGCAAATGCAAGTACTGCCTCACCTGCCCCCACTCCCACTGCCACCATCCAGCATGGAGCCACCACCACCAGTTCTATTGACCACCTTCCAAGGTGTTGACCCTTCTGTCCACTGAGGACTCCTCACTACCAGTTGAGGTAGGTGCATTTATGGTGCACACTGTTACTGCAGATGAGAAGAAGGCAATGATGTACACATCCATCACAAATACCACTCTTCGTCAAGCCATTGCCAACCAAGAGTATCAATGATCAATCACTGGTCATCTGCAGGAAGGTGGTGTTGATCAGGGGGGACCACTTTGAATTACAATGTAGCTTCATATACTTTCCATACTGACATGAACCTCTTTCATTTGTTGTTGTAATTCATGCTGTTTTGGATGACTTATCAAGAGTAATTGCTGGAATTAAGTCTTCACATTAAAAAAATGTACATGGAAGGGCAGTAGTTCCTAGGTATATTCCCCACCACTTACTCATCCTCAGCACCATCCACATCCATGTCAGACTTGTCTTCAAGGAGCTCCATGTGTCCCACTGCCTCTCTCTCCCTCAGGATGGCCTGGTAATCAATCCACATTGCCTTGGCAATTTGATCACACAACATGCATGCCTCCAGATGTTCTCCATTGCCTTCCAGTACACTGGGCCCCTCCAACCCATTGCCACCTTGCACACCTGCATCAGATGGAGTGCCAAAGTCTTCTGGAATTTTGCCTTTGAATGGATCATGGATGTGGATGAAATTATGAAGGGCACAAAATGCTGCTGGCAGCTGCACTTGCATCTGGAGATCAAATGGTGGAACTAGTGAAAGGATATGAAAATGATGCTTTATGACACCAAAAATACATTCAATAACATTGCAGGCCATGCATGCCACAAGTTGAACAATTCTTGCTTGTTTGCAGGCCTGCAGTTTTCATCAGTAGGATGGTCAGGGGATCATAAGTGTGATTACTTACCTTACACTAGCATGGCCCCATTCAGCTAAATGGTAGTGTACACCACAGTATGGAACAAGCAACATTCAGTCTGCAGGAAATCCACATCTGCAAGCAAAAACTTTCCTTCAGGAATCCTCAAGTCATGTGTGGTCACATATTTGTAGACACAGGCATCTGCTGCACTGCCCTCCCAGCCTGTAAGAGAGTATATAAACTGTAAGTTGAAATCACATGTGAAGAGACAGTTTTGGGAAACATATCCCTTGTGGTTCCAGTAGTTCAAACATATGTAGGCAGGGGGAGATGCATGGATATGGCTTCCATTGATGGCACCAATAGCATTGCAGAAGTATGGCCAGAATTTTGGGTTGTTTTGGATCTTTGAAGGAACAGTATCACCAGCTGGAAATCAAACATAGTCTGTATAAAAAGGTTGTGTTGCAAGTGTGGTGAGTATCATATGGAAATAACTGGAAACTCCATGCAGTAGTTACATTGGAGGGGTGTTAAATACATACCATGAAATTATATCATTCAATCATTGAAAGTGCTCCCCTACATGCCTGAATGGCAGGCAAGTGATGCATGTATAAATTGGCGTGATGCCTCGGAGAATAGTCGACGAGGTCATCATAGCGAGCGGTATGTTCTGTGAATTCTCGTTCTATATCATGCTCGAATGTGAGGTCAATAATTTCCGGGTGACACAGGCCAGGTGAACGCTACATAGGGATATGCGCCAGAACTGATGTTATGATGTTAGAGTATCTGCGGAGAATTGAGGAACTAAGTTTGCAGTGGAATTAGTGACTCTCTCGAACGCAAGACGACATTGAGAAAAGCGCAGAATACTATCACGAGGAAATAGGAGACTTACGCGTAGCACAGCGGAAATCCTGGGACGATGTGTTATCAGTCGACGATGCTTAAGCTGAGAACCGTGGCATTTCGCGGATCGCAGCGTGTTGGCCCAGCTGCTTGCTATTCAGTGGAGAGTTAGTACAACTCATAAATTCAATCGTGTGCCGACACAGGGCTGCGGGGGAGTCCGAGTGAGGATGGTGGAAGACAAGTCTCTGCACGCTTCGTATGACAATGGTGTTGTAGCGCAGCGGTTCATTCAGGCTGACTTACCTATGGTGTCCACCTCAGATACCAGATGCCTCGGTTACTTCTTGTTTGTTATCCCCAGCCGTTGCTGCCGTTCGGTGATTACGGTTCCACAAGGTCGGTGTGACGCTCTCCACAAGGGGCAAGCAAGACGGAATGGAAAAGGTCGGCGCTCAAACGAGAGAAGTTGGATGAGATGGAAAAGGGAGGCCTCGAAGTCAGGAAGGGGACAGAGACAAGACAACCAGCGAGCTGAGCTGAGCGTGGCTGTGAAAACTGGCAGGGAAACAACATGTGTACAGTGTACACCAGAGACACCTACCACAGCGGGCAAATGCCCTGGGAAACTGCTTCTAAATCCCAATTCTCGTGTTTGATAATCAGTGCCTCAAACTTCCATCAATGTTGGGAATTCGGCGCGACGTTTCCAAGGCGTGTTTATTGACTCCGTTATGCCAGTGGAACACCTATCTCCCCCGCATTTCTGTCTGGCTGGCTGGGACACAGCTTAACGGTGCCACTGGAGCGCTCTTAGACCACGAGGAAAGGCGTCCAATTGTTCATCGTATGGTTTCACTGTTAGGCTTTTCCTCCGTGGCCACTAACCCTTCAAAGGATTCAAACCAGTCTTCTCAATGGATGCTGCCATCATGGGCTGTGCAAATCAACGATCAATCACCCAGTACATGTGGTAGAGTATGTCTAAGTTAATGTGTGCGTATTCATTCAGGTGCATCACCCCACAAATGTCTTCGACGGCAGATTCAGAAGCTATCATTATTGCGTTCATGAACGCCGTACGTCCAGGCTTCGACTACATCGTGGTAACCACTGCTTTCTCTGCCTGTCTGTTTACCCTCTTTGTGGTCCTTATTGCACTCTCAACCAAAGAACAATGCAAATCGTCGACAACTTGTAAGTTGGTGTCCCTCTACTACTGTACGTGATTCATAGAACATCTTTCCTAGGTACTCCGTCAGTTTTTTCCTTTACAACCTCCACGTCCGCACATCGTCGATAAACAGAGGTGAGCATACCACCGTGCGTCTCTGTAGCGGTATGAATAACTCATGCATGTCGTGACATGCAGCGTGCAGCATTGCGGACCGTATCCACCGAATCTTCTATATATCCGTCGCCAATTTTGTCTTCCCTCTCATCTTCAACATTGCACAAATCATCTTTATCACGACTGACCGGATCCCGACCACCGGTGAAGTGCTGCTCTTGATCAACAGCTATGTAACTGTCTTGGGGGTAATGTGCACGACACTATGGTCCTCAGGAGGTCACCCTGAGAATCCTACATAATTTTTCCTTAGTCTTGTTACCAAAAGTCAGAGACCTGGATACTCACTTGTCATCTGGGAAAAGACTGCTGGGCTGGGCTGGCCTCTTGCATGTGAGGACAGCTTGGAAGATTATCCTGATGTAGATCCTATATGATGCTTCATTAGTCTTGTTATCAGACCATAGGAACCAAACCCTACCCCATATTGCAGAGCTGGCATGGGAGGCTTGGATGGGCCAGGCTCTCAAGTGTGCACATTGCTTGGAATTGTTGATGGGTCATGATGTGAATCTTGCACAATGGGGCATGCATCCTGGCATTGATCACATGGTGCAGTTCAACAGTCAGACTGTAAAGCCTTGCAAATGTCAGCAGATACCAGATGTTAAGTAAAGAGCAGAACTTACCTGGGGACCAATAGTATCATGATTTGATGCCTCCATGCAAGGTCACGTCCAAGAGGGAAAAGGGAGTTGTTGCTGCAGTCAGGGTTGTGGCTGTCAAAGGACCTCCATGCCTTGCTGCTGGCAATCCATTTCCTTGAGGGACTTCTGCCACTCTGGATCATCTGAGATCTGCTGCAAAACAGTACCATTGGTAGCTTTGATGAGCATGATCTCACCCTTCAAAGGGTCAGTATCCAAAATATTGATGACCTCTACACAGAACTTCAGCATCCAACTGGATGAATAAAATAGGGAATACCTTTGTTCCAGCACTTAATCTCAATTTCCAGCACATCATCCAGACTATCTTGTTCTTCCTCATCATCAGTTTGCCCATCATACAAAAGACCCAGTTTTCTCTGAAGGTAAGGTACTACAAGTTGACAAAGAGGGCCAGCCTTAAGTTTCTTGTACTCAAAACCAGGGCCTGGTGGAGATACACCATGGGACCAGTTGACAATAGTGAAGTGGCTCTTCTACAAAAACTTGAGAAGCCAGTGCCAGGAAACTTTCTGGGGATTGCCAACTTCAATGCCACATGTGACTGAGCAAAGGATCAAGACAAATGCACATACAGCACAAGAATAACTTACCATGCAGATCTCTCAATGTGGCCAACATCTTCTCCTTCATCATGCTTCCAAATACTCTGCAGTTGCAGTCTCTTGGAGTCTCCTTTGTATGGCAATGTAGTTCCAGTGCAGAACCCACATCTCCAATGGAACTGGTGCCAGCCACCCTGGCATCCACACCATTGCCATTCCTGAGACACCTACAACAATCCAATGAGGTTGAATGAAACATGTGAGAAATAAACTTACTTGAAAATTGTGGTATACTGATCCATGAGTGACCAGACATTGATGCCATTTTCATTGATGAAGTTTCTTATCATCTCAGAGCCTCCAAATATGCCAGAAGTTTGATGTCCTGCAGGGTCCTGTCCAACATATGTTACCACTCCAACTATCTCAATATCCTCGAGATTGGACCACACCTCTGCCTGTGGAATGATCAGAATCAATGGCTGCACAGTTGCAACCACATACCAATCCAGAAAATTGTGTTTTTGCATTGTCCACTCTAGCTGCAATAGATTTGACAGATCAATTAGTCAGTATGGTGGAGGAGCTCTCACTCCACTCATAGACAGCTTTTAACTTTTCCCTCCTTGCCACAAAGTCATCCTTGGGGATGCCTATCATGAGGGTGTTGTACTCCTTTGTAATCAAATTGTTGATTGCATTTCAATTGGCTGGTCAGGACATCAGAGTGGTAGATGTGAGAGGGAGGAAAGCCATACCACCATCTGGTTTGGGCTGTGTGGCCCAATACCACAAGTGGAAGAGGTTTGCCTCATTAATTTTGGTATGAGAAGCCTTAATACTAAATCCCACAGCAACGAGTATGTCATGTGTAGACCGCCCATGCCATCAGCCAAGTTCTTCTGCCATCATCTTGATGTCCTTCGCAAAAGCACATATTTTGTCTGACACTGCTGTGGACAGATTCCCTGGCTTCTTGAGGTTCAGGAGTTGGGTGTCATGGTCACTGTGGTTTGCAGCATCAATGTCCTTGGCATCTATAGCCCTACCTTTTCCCTTCTTCTGAAGTCTAGTATAGATCAGGCCACCTTCTTGGCAAGGATGGACAACATCCCCTACAGGATGGGCAGAGTCATCAGACTTGTACATGGGTGGCAAGGACAGGGGAAGTGGGGACTGGGCACAAGGAATAGTCTGAGCATTGCAAGCATGTGCATCATCATCATCTAGGAGTCAACATGTCAACACAAGGCAGATGTGTATATAGATGGTAACAGAACAGGATCACAATAATTCTTTATCTATATAACAACCAAGGGAATGATGGGTGGCAGAAAATGGTCATGAGTATCCAAAGCACCAAGCTTTGAAACACAAGTGGGCACCAAGCCCACCATTGCATGACCAGAGAGGCACCAAACCCTGAAATCAAAAGAAATGAGAATTATCTGAAAAAAATGTGAGAGAATGAGGGATATGAAATGGAAAAACCTACCATGGGAGTCACTTGAGCTCTCCATCTTGTTGTCATTCTCATTCTCATTGTAATCAGAACCCTTGTCGTCATCATCACTACCAGGCAGCTGGTCATCTGCTTTCTCGCTACTGGATGGCTGATCATCCTTGTTCTCATTACTGGAAGGCTGGTCATCCTTGTTTTCATTGTTGTCAGGATTCTCCTCCATCTCCTCCATTGCAGAGTCCTCATCATGGATTTGGTTGTCCAGGTGCAGGGAAGGGGAAGGGAGCATTGGGGTGTTCACAATGGAAGGATGAGGTGTCAAGGAGCATCTTCTATCTCTCAGGCCAAACATGTGCTCTTCCCAGCCTTTGGGAGGCTGGACTGTGTGCTGTGGTTTCAGTTTGCCAATCATATCCTTCAGAGTAGATTGCCATGAGCAGAAAATGACATTAAAGTAATGGATGAGAAATATACTACAAGACATACCTCTGAGTGTTGCACTCCATTGTTAGAGACAACAGCACCACCTTTTTTTACTTGTTTGGAAACTGGGGCATTTTGTGAGGACAGAATCCTTTGGTTGCAAAGAATGCAAGTGTTCAAGTTGGCAATGGAGTCCCTTGAAGGCTCTGGGATATCAGCAGAGTGGGGCATGGTTGTGTATTTAAGGTCAGAGCACATCAAGCCAAGATGAACCACATGGGAAAAAATATCCATCTAGAACATGTTGTCTCGGCATGCAAAGTTCTGGATATCACATCAGCAAGGACATATGAAACCATGAAAAGAGGACATGATGTAAGGGGGATGAAGGAAAAGCACGCAGGAAAGAAGTGGTTGTAATGCATAGCAAGGATGACACACCTATTAAAATGGAAACATATGGGTGGAATTCCAATCGAAATCCAGAACGGTGGTATTCCATCTGCGCAACCCAGAAAGTGGGTTTCCTCAGGACTGAAAAACCACAAGAGTTCATCAGTATCCAGCAATAGAGAAAGGAATGGGCTTACTAGACAGAAAATGAATTGTTCAAGCCCCTAAGGGTGGTCACCAATGAGAGCAGGGTCGACACAGTCCAATAGATGCAGTCCCTTTCACACAATTGATAGCCAAATCAAGCATATAATGTAGACCAAACATTGGAGGTATGATGACCTTTGGGTGAAGTTGTTGCTGAAATGAATCTCTGGTACTGAGCAACGAGGGTCATTGTTGTCCATGCAATTGATTGTTGGATCGACACCAAGACCACCCTTGAAGGCCCCAAGCCTTCAGGGGCTGTCAAGGGCACCAAGCCCATGACATTTAGCAGAGAGATGCTCCAAGCATTCCGCTGCTAAGTGGTAGAGCTTGAATGGTAGAAATTTATGAAGGATGGAAAGTGCCAAGTTGTGACTTGCCTCACAGTCAGGCTGCCATATGCAATATGTGGCCTCAGGATTTATACTTTGTAGAAATTAATTGGAGACCACTGTGAGAAATACTTGCCAACAGATAATACAATAGCTGCTAGTCTTTACATGGATATGGTAAAAAAAATTCCAGTGGGAGTATGCACACAGTCATCTGCTAGATATGGAACCCTTGCTTCATGATCTGGGTGGCTGCAGACAAGAATAGTGGAGGGATCAGTTGAGTTAGGTGGCATTATATGTATCAATACTGGTGGTGTGGGAAATTCTGTGTAAATGGGGATCGAGGGGGATAAGGTGGCAGGTGTACACTCTTCATGGGACAACAATCCTGAAACCCCCAGACTTGATGGGCATAATGCTGCTGTGGGGTATGTGGGTTGTGAGCCAGATGACCCTATGAAGGCTTCAATATGATCAGTCCAGAAATGTCACTTAAGAACATACTCACCTTCAGCACAAGATCTTAGTAACAAAGCACTTGCTAGCATTTCAGCATCTGCTGCATTCAATTTGAGGTTTCCAATCAGAGTAATTAGAGTGCCTGTGCCAAAATGTATTAGTTGTCAGGAGTTAGTTGGAAAAACATGTACTAAGGTTGCTAGAGCTTATATCCAATCCAGTACTGGGCGAAGGTATTTCAGACATGGTGGGTCAGGGAATGGGAAGGAAAGGCTGGAGAGTGAATGTGCAGAGAATTGTAAGTATGATGGCAGATCTCCAGCAGAAGGCTACCTCATTCCCTTTCCCCATTTGTCAGAAGCCATTGTGGGAAAACCAGAAGTTTGACCATGATGAATCATGCACTGAGATGTGACATAACTCTTTGTAATATCCTGGAGGAAGTAGCAGAAATTGATGGATAAGATACACTGAAAAGCTAACCACATACCCACATTAGAACTTCGCATGGTTGATCATGAGGCAACCTGGAGAAAATTTGTAGTAGAAAGGAGAGCTTGAGATCATCAATCAGAATCGCTGCCCTTGAAGGTAACATCACACCAAGTCTCTGATACTGTAGAGGAACACACCACATATTCAATTGGCAGGGATAGATATGAACAGATGTGTTGCTAACTCAAATCTTTGGGACTAAAAGGTGAGGGGAGAACTGCACTATCATCTATGTGATTGATCACTGAATCTGTACCAAGGGTAGATGAGTGGGGAGACAAGGGCATCGCTATAGAAGGCATATACTGGCCAGGCAGAACAATGGAGTGCAGCTGGAGGTGGGGAGAATGATGGACCTAGTACACATAGTATGCGCTGGTAAATGGGTCAGTAGACTGTGAAGCATAATGATGCATAACTTAAGTCGAAAGCACTGACCCGCAAAACCTTCATTAATGTTGCTGAAAGATGAGGGTCAGTCTTGACTGTTGTCATGCAATTGATCATCGGATCCACTGGACACCAAGACTGCCCTTGAAGGCTCCAAGCTTTCAAGGCTGTCAAGGGCACTGAGCCCCTGACATATGGTAGAGGAACGCACCGAGTGTTCCCCCAATACCATGCAGACAGCATACAGAAGATGAGAGTGTTGCTAAGTACTAGCTACAGGTGGTGTGAATGTTTGTTTCGGCTGTGATGATGTAACAATTGTGCAGTTGTGAAATGACATGTTAAAATTCTGTCATTCATCAAAACTTTAGTCACATTGGTAAAAGTGGCCAAATCTATTAACAAAGTAGCAATGGTGCACTAGTACTTGTAACTAGGACTTGCTATAAGTAGCTTATCAACATGTCATTACTGTAATGCATGAATGTATCTCCCATGAATATTACAATAGGCAGTCCAGAACATTGAGGAATGAAATATGGAACACAAAACTTATATCTAATCACCCAATTATTTGACAATTTAGAGCCTAGACTCAATGTCTTCCTTGAGCATGCTGTAAGTCAGGCATTGCATTCATTTGTGGTGCAGGTCACATGCACAGCAGTACCCATAATATTTCTCACTACTACTAGTAAGTGCTACCTACTACTTTGAGTTGCTGATGCCCCTCCATATAAACCAATTCAGTGCAAGGTAAGTTTCCCTCTATCTTTTCCATCTTACTTTTCCAGATGGCCCAGTTGCTCTTTCCATGAATGTTTGGAGCGTTCATCTGTCAGGTCTTGGGGGTTTGGTGCCTGCAAGTTCTTGATAGGCTTGGGGCCTATCAAGAGTTATCCTCGCAGTTTCTGGGGCATTTCTTCATCAAAACTCAGGCATTAACATAGTCTATATGCATGCAGACTCAATACACCAATCATTGTCACCTCTTTGTCAAGAAGACATTTTTTGAAAGTAAGTTTTTATTCTCTTTTATTCATACTTTTCTTTCAAACATCTGGTCAACTTATGCTGTACTCAGAGCCAAATGTTCAGAGCATTTGTCTGCCAAGTGCTCTGGGGTTTGGTGCCTTGCAAGTTCTCAATAGGCTTGGGGCCTATCAAGTGCAACATTCTCATTTTGTTTCAGTTACACTGGCCTTAATGCTGCATGATTCATTTTTTTCTCCCCTCATCATCATCTCTGTCAATTTAAGTAAGTACTGACTGACTTCTTTTGTTTCCAGGATGAATGTAGCTAGTGTTTGCCCTTATGAATTATCATTGTACAACCACCCTGGCAATGGTGTGTTCTTGCTGTCCCTAACTCAGCTCAAATTGATTATTGTTATTTTCAGGGAGATGGGGTGCATTTGATGTGTGCATCCTAGCAAAGTGTGATGACCACTGGATCACATCACCAAATGCTGACTATGTTCCCCAACCCTTCATCTTCGATGGAGAAACAATCACACCCCTATGTGATGGATGGTTTGGCCATATAGACTGTTTTCAATGGCCACAGTTGTTCACAGAATGCTACACATGGAGTCTGTGTGTCCCCCGGAAAGTGGCCTATGGAGATGACCCAATGTGGAAGTGGCTGTGGTGGAACATTACCCAGTCAGCAGAGGATTTTGTGCTGGAAAGAGGGTCTGCCTTCAAAGTTGGCAGGATTCATGCTGACAAGTGGAAGTCAATGGAGACTGTTTATAATTGACTAGATGAATGTTTGCAAGATTGGCTAAAGAAGCACCCCCACTATGAAGGTCCTCTGAGACCTGATTTGTGGCTGGGGTCATGTTGGTGATGTCTCCTGCATCTGAAGGCATGATTTTTTTCTGGTTCAGATTTCATTAATTAAAATTTTCTCTAGCAACTCCCATTTACATTTCAAGACACAGTCATATTGGTTGCTTTTTGTCAACACCTCCTCCTAGACATCTTTGGCATGCTAGAATATCTGGACACAGACCTTGACCCTGCTATGGGCACTTTCATTGATTCATTTGACTGCTGGATTGGGGCATTCATGACAGACCCTGACATTTGCCAGCACCTTTTCGAAATATGTGTGCCTGTCTGGATGGTCTGGAAACCCGATCATGTACCCCCAGACATGCAAGTGTTGAAGACTGTTGAGATTATGCACCCTCATGACATAGTCATGGATCCTGAGGTTTTTGAGGTTGGGCAGATGCTGAAATGGCACAGCACCTGGTACCACCCTGGTGAATCACACCACAGGCACACTTGACAAGGCCCAGTGATTGGGCTCGAGCAATTTGCAGCTCCCTGGCCAGAACCACCATGCACCAGCAGTGGTGTGGCCTTGACTCCCACAAGCATGGGTCCCACGGCTTCCAGTGCTCCAGGTTCCAGTGGTGCAAGTTCAAGTATGGGAGCTGTTAGGACAGGCAGGGCTCGAAAACATAATCAGCTATGTATGTATCCTATTCATTTTGTCTTAGTGTGTTTAACATTTTGCTCAGATCCCCCTGTGGGCTCAAGAGGAGCCAAGCCATCGGTCATTCTGAATCCCGAACTGTGGGAAGACCTCGGCAATCCAGCTATTCCCCCTACTATTTCTGCATGGCATGCTGCCCTGAAGGACATGAATAAGGATGCAAAAAGGGTTAGTCCCAATGTGCCCAAGGTAGCTTACTTCTTTCCCAGCCCAAGTCTGTTTGTGAGGGGCAAGTCCTCCAATTGCTGGCAGAGGTACCTGAGGAATTGGCTAGTCTCTTGAGCAGGTTGGATCACTTGTCTTTCTGCCTCGGATGTGTCTCCTGTTATCCCTCAGTCCTGGTGGGATTTCCTGAACACAATTCCCAAGCAGATTTCATCCACACTTTCTGGTGACTGACTATGTGAATCTGCCACCCTCTTTGGTCCTGAGCTTGACACAACATACCTAGCCATGTACAATTCTGGGATATTTCAATTTCCCTTGCAGACCTCACTACCATCAATCAGATGACAAAAAGCAAGATTTTATGGGATTTATATGAACACAACTTCTGGTTTGAGTTGGTTGCTCTTGACCATGTGATGATGCCTAGCTTGTGGTCAAATTTGGATTCAGAGCAGCTCGATCACATCCAGCAGGTATGTACAATTTTACCTCACCAGGAATGTGCTGTTTCTGAACTCTATGCAGATTTTCCCTGGTGATTTGGAACTCACCATGTGTGCTGAGCCTTTCCCTCAGCAAAATCAAGGCCTCGGCGCATCTGACTTTCAATTGGAACAGGAGTATGTAGAGAAGCTCTGGGCATTACTTGCTGTATGGCCAGGATGCCCCTCAGACTTGGCAGAGCCAATTATGCCATTAGCATCATTGTCACATGTCTGGGCAATGGAAAAGAAGTTGGCTATATTTTATGTACAGTTGTTCTTTGATACTTTTGGTCATCTGCCCCTTCTTCCCCACCTTATTCCAACTGCACTGCATGGTTATGGTTCAAATAGTCAGTAACCTCCTTCATCATTCCCCGATACCATTTTTACTCTGTACATTTCCCAAATGATATTTGTAGCACACTGCAATTGCAATCTCATTTTGTTCATTGCACACTTGCTCTGTCTCTTTCCCCATCACCCTTGCTAGTCATGTGCAAAGGTCAGTTCACTTTTCTACACTGGAGGCTAACTATTGGAGACATGCTGGTGGCATCTTGGGGTTGCCTTCCAGCAACCAGGATTCAGTGTCCTGGTCACAGTCCTGTAACTTGGTGTTGCAGGATCATTGTCTACCACTAACTTGCCTAGACAGTTTATGCATCTGACTGAATTTCATAGATGTCTTTTCATCAACCAAAACAGCTTACTAGGCATGGTCCCTCTGTACAAGTTACTGCCCTGATGAACCAGATTCCTGACTCGCTCCATGCAGATGATCTCGTGGTCCTTGTTGACCATCAGACTGCTGAACCTTCACACTGTGTTCCCAGAACTGCAGGGCTTTACCTTCCTGTTGAGCACTTGCTCACCTTACCTGGCCATTGCACTTTCACACAACACCCCAGTGATTCCTCTGACCCACACATCTGACACTGCTCTGCTTCAAGCGCTGCTTGCCTGTTAGAGCCTTCTGTGGGTAGTGAATGTGACCTCTCCCATGATGCTGCTTTTGACCACTTAACTGATGGGCTACATATTAGCCAAGACCCACTCTTGTCACCATCTAGGAATGCCAAAAAAAAAATGAAGCTGTGGCAGCAGTGGTCACACACTGTCATCCCTTCCCTCCTTCAGCCATACCTTGCATATCAACAACTATCCAACCACTCCTGGAATCCTGTTGACTATGAACTGCTGACATGTGGTTGTCACCAGACTTGAAAACTGAGAGTCATTTGCATTAGTGGCATTCAAAATAAATCTGAGTCAAACAAATTTGGCCCAGGAATCAGTGTGAGCATGGCAAGCAGGTCCAGTGCATGTGGTTTAATTCAAGCTCCGCTTAAAAATGCCTCCCCATCGTCCATGCACAAGATGCTCTGCATGCCTGCAAGCAAGACAGATGACTATGATGGCATCGACTCCCCCTCAGATTCCAGCCAGAAATGCAGGTTCTAATCCTCCTTTCCCTTCTCAAGTTATATCCCCACCCCAAAATACGATCTCTACGTCCCAGGGAGGGAAGCCAAAGACCAGGGGATCCAAGTCCCAGGCTACTGGCTCTCACAAGCAAATGATGACTACCCTGGGAGGTCCTCCGCAGGAATCAAGGGAAACCAATTTCTGGGAACGATATCCCCACCTCACTAGCACACTCCTGAGCTGGCTCTTGCAACATCCTGCCAATTGTGCCGTCCTATTCAGCAGCGCTAAGCAGCGAAGTGCACAAGAAGGCTCTGCTTCCCTTGGAAAGCCCCATGGGCAAACAAAGAAAGAAATTCATGCTGTCATTGCAAAGGTGCTTTTTGTGAATGATCCAGAATATTGCAGTGGGTATGAGATGCAGCCGGAGAAGTTCAATATGAGTGTCTATGCATGCCTTGCAACGTATGTCTTTATCTAATGATGGGAGATGGCATAACTCAATGGTCAATGCAGGTTAAAGAAGAGATATCGAGAGCAACTTGATCGTTTCAAGTCCACTGGTGGTGGGATCATTCCTGGTGATGCGAGGTATCCAAACCTGCTGGGTGAGTCTGTTAGATCGTGTTCCCATTTGGTCCCACTGATGATCTGGTTTCAGTTGATGCCATTGTGCATGTCCCTTGGTTCAAGGAATGTGATCAAATGTGGAGGGGAATTCCATCAATTGACACCCAACTGCAAAACTCTACTCCTGGCCTCAATCATGCTGGCAATTTTCTTGTGATTATTCAACCCGATTCCCCCTCTGTACCCCCCCCCCCCTCCCTCTGGTACTTCCCAGTCTGTGCCAGATTTGTTTGGAGAGTGTGATGATGATGAGACCATGGTCCAGCAGATGGAACATCCAGGTTTTCCTGGTGTCATCACTGATGATGACCGCATGTGTATGGATGAGGAGGAAGAGGAGGCTGGTGGCAATGAAACAAGAGGGCATGATATCGACAAAGAAGAATGTGACGATGACTGGATGCATGATTCTTCCCTCCTGACAGCAGGCCCAAGCCAATCAAATACTTTTTTGCCGGTGGTCCCATCTTTTGCTAAGGCAAGTTACCAATATCTCCTAAGTGGTCACACTGTACAAAAACTAACATGAACAATCTAGTCTTTCAGTGGCCCAAGTGACTTTCATAATTGGCAACCTAATCCTCCTGCTATGAAGCACAAGACACCATCCTGGGAAAATCGCAGTACATTCCACTCTTCCCCATACCCCAAGTGTGTCCCATCATCAACTTCAATGGTCACATCAATGTCATCACCACTGTCTATCGTCACTAAGAGTCATGGCCACAGTCCTGGTTCTGTGGCATTGGGGGGAAGCTCAGGAAATGCAAGATCTGTCTCCAAGCTCGAGGTCATGCTAGCAGAGAAGTTGCAAGGACTTTCAGGGGATACTTCTGACCAAGAATACCAGATCGCTCTTCTCAAGAATGAACGTCACATTGCAAAATATAACATGCACATGTGTATGAAGGAGATTGAGCATGATGAGTGCAAGCATCAGTGTGAACGTAGTGAAGCTGACAAGATCCACCATCGCATACTGAAGATGCAGAACCATGACATCCAGCTCTGCAAGCTGGATGCAGAGGCATTTTCTAGGGAATCTGAGGTCCTCAAGCTCAAGCTCAAGCTTGCAGAGATCGAGGCTCAGAAGGCCCTCACTGCTGGTGGCCAAGCATCGTCCTCTGCTACTCCTACATCATCGATAATTACTCCTGCAGATCTTCCTCTGTCCCTTACCTGATGTCGCTTGTAGGATGAACAAGTATGTTTTATCCATTTGTCCAAGTTGTCACCATCACCCTTTGTTTTTTTTACAAAATGCAAAATGTATTCAGATTCATATCCCTCTCTCCATGATCAACCTCTCCATTAAGTGCACATGGAATTGTTGTCCTACTGATCCTGGTTCTAGGGCCAGCAGCATATCATTGTCATTCCCTTCATCAGGCTCCCCTTCCCTCATTGCCCAATCCATCATCCCTTGCCCCAACTCTTCACAGTGCCTTTCTTCAAATTGCACAACCATATTGTGCAGGATAAAGCAACATGTTATCCAGTACACAGCCAGATCCATATTCTCTGGTTTGTTACCAATTTTGATATGGAGTTCTCTCAGTGACTGAAACTGGCCTTTCAAGGCCACAAATGCATGCTCTACCCTGACTTGAATCTTCTGAATTGTCAAGGATGTGCCATGGAACACTTGGTAAGTATGTACCTTTGAAACATAACAATTATATGTGTTCTGATGCTTTGTCAATTTCCCCCCTTGTGGCTTTTTAAACAGCACAACACACCACTTCTCCGAGGGATATGCTGTATCAGCCCAAGTCCAGTGTCTGTGTGGCATAACACCGATTGGATCCTTGAAGATCCACATTCCCTGAAATGCATATGCATCATGGACACTCCCCAGATTCCCCAGCACATAATCAACAATGGCCAAGTTGTGTGGCATTATTACAACCTGCATGCCTGTAAGTTGTCTGTTTCTGCACGACATCATACTCACCTACCTGACAGTTTAGTGAGAAATTTGATTTGTGGTCATAGTAGCTGTCAGTGAATGACTTCAGTCGCACATAAAGGTTAACAATTGTTCCATCCACAGCAAAAACTCCATTTCTCCAAGACCAGCAAGTTCGTGACTCTGCAAATTCTCGTGCACACCTCAGTTCTGGGGATCACACATCTGGCACATAAATGAAGTTGTCGTGCTTGTCCAGCAGTGCTGCCATTACCTGGTGAGTACAATTGATGACTGTTCCGACACTAATGCCTGCCCACTGGGCAGCATCCTCAGGTGAAGATGCATTACAGTAGTGCCCCACACAGAAAAGGAAAATTGCGAGTTGAATGGCCACAGGTAATTGTTTGTTGTTTGACTTGTTCAAAAATATGTAGTGGTCACTAATTTGGTCTAAAATGTCATCAAATATCACAGGATTGGCACGCAATTTTTTCCAGAACAAGAGTGGTCAGTGGATAGCAAAATGATCAAGGAGTGGCAGTTGAGATGCACACATCATTGGTACGCCTGGTTGCTTGAAGACTCATGCCATGTGGACCTCATCATAGAGCACCCAAATGGTCTGCAGCGCTGCTGTATATGGAGCAGTTATCCTCTTCACAGAATGGAGTGAGCTGAGGGACGAGGACGACGAGGCAGACATGGATGAAATTGGAGATGAGATCATCAGGGACAAGGGTTTGGACAAGACACCTGCCCAGCCACCACCTGACATGCTAGAACTGGAGCCATTGTTGTTGGCCCCCATGTAAGTCCCCAGCTGCTGCAACTGCACTTCCGGTGACCCTGACTGCTGCATTGCCCAGGACCCCTAGGGCCCCTTGACGAGCAGACTTATGGACCACTGTGGCAGAAGGAGGACAGTGTTACCTACTCATATCTAATACCATATCCGAGCTGCCCCCTACAAATATCACTCATGAGTGAATGTTCAAACTTAGATGTTGAATATAAAAAGACATGATGTCATGCTGTGTAGCACAGCACTCCAAAAATGCAAAGTGAGCAGAGGTTTAAAAAATCGGAACTTGAAATTTGTCAAAGTTGCAGCTGAAGTTTCTGCTAGGGTTTAGTGCCAAACTCAGCCAACTCAGCTAGGGTTTAGCACCAAAATCACTCCAACTCAGTTTATTTTGAGCACCACTATTGATTTCAATGGTGAGATTTCTGTGTTCTTCATCATTTTTCTCTGCTTAGATGCATTCATGGCAGCTCTGCAATCAGTTGATCTGGCTGTCTGTCCTTGTGCACCTGCAGCCCTCCAACTCCTTTGGATGGGCTACTTCCCCTGTGCCCCACTGGGGCCAACACTTGCTGTTAGCCTACAGCTTCTCAGCTTTGTCCAACAACTCTTCATGCACATACCTCCAAACACTTCAGCATGGTGTGAGTCCCTTGAGGCATACCTTGCAGCTATGGGTTATGAGGTGGACACAAAGATATGGAATTGTCATGTTTTGTATCATTACCCCATTTTTTCCACTTTGTAAAACATACATTACTGCCATAGTGACTGCAGTACAGATGACTCTGCTATGTAGGTAGTATATCTTAATCTGATGCATGACTATTTCATGGTTATAAGTGCATGCATGTGTGACATGTTCTGTTTCTTGGGACTGCTGTAGCATTATATTGATAGGGTAGGATGTTTGTTGGTATTGTTTGTGGTGATGTTGCTATATTATTAATGCATAGTTTGGTTGTTCTTCTCAGTCATGGATCATTGCTGATGATACTTGCAGGAGGGTATATGCTGGAGGTTCAGTAATGCATATCACTGGTATTGTATTCTGGAAACATCCCTTGATGAATATGTCCAACAACAACTGCAAGAATCTGCTAGTCCACCATCAAACATCCCCTCTGCAATCCCATTGCCAAGCTCCCCAGACAAAGATGTCCTCAGTTCAAAGATGAGGCCATCAGAATACCTATGACAGCATTGTCCTCTATGCTTTGGTGGCCAGAGCTGGCAGAGCAATAATAGTGAACATGGGTATGTCACTTGGTGGATATAGTTTTGTCAACTGCTAAAATTTCCTTTGTTGTAGCTTTTCTGATGTTGATGCAATTGTTTGCATTGATGCTTGTTTTACTCAGAAGCACAGAAGTGGGCATCCAGATGATCCAGTAAACCCTACAGCTACAGTCTTTCTTTCACAAGAAGATATTTGTGCTATGGAGCATGAGGTTAATGAGTTGTCAAAGTCAAAGTCTTCAACCCAAAGGAGGAGTGGACAGCCTTTGAAAAAGAATTATCTTGGTGATGGGGAGGATGAGTTTGAAGAGGGAATGAGGATAACAATGTCAGTGCTGAAGGGTTGTAATGAGTCCTTTACTGCAGCTGATGAGAGGCACCAGAAAGTGAGTCTTAATCATTTATTCTGACTCCATTGGTCTGATGGCAGTGTAGGCAAGTACCCAGTTCTTTTCAGATACTGGTGTCATGGCCCTATTCTGTCATCATGATCATGTCATTTACCTTGCAAATATGACTTCAGCTGGGGAGAGGCAACATTATGCACTTGCCCTCATCAAATCTCTTTTTGGCCATCTCCCAGATAATTTTCATATTGGGCTATTATATGACATAGGTTGTCAACTGGAACAGAGCTGCAGGAAGTGGGGTTTTCTCAAGTCATTTCTGCCATGTATTTCTTTTGCCATCTCAGTATTTCATGCCTTTGGTCATCAATGGGCATGTCAGCTTATCTATCACCCCTGAAAATGCGAAGGATTTGGGCTATCTGATGGAGAGGGATGTGAGTGTTTTTGGAGTTCAATCAAAGGGCTGATACCATCTCTTCATGTTTCTGGGGTATGTGTGCAGTATGCCACATCTGTTTCAAGCTAACATATTATTCAGTATCATCAACACCTCTTTGTTATTGACTTCCAGGTGTGCCACCCAGACATGAAGAGTCTCACTGGTTTGGGCCAGTGGCTTTTGCATTGCTGGAATCATTGCCAAGAACAGAAGGCTGCTGCAAACAGAGGCCTAAGGAGATGTGGAGTTGATATCCCAACTCTTCAAGCTGAATGGGTTGCCCAAGTCTCTGCACAGACAAAGCCAGCTCCTTGTAAGCTGCTGATATAAATAATGACTCCTGCTCACCATCAAATTAGGTCACAGCTCTAAAGCTGCTGAGAATATGATATTCCAAATCATGGCAACTCAGAAATCATTGGCAAATTATGAGGCCAAGCTAGAAGTGCTGGAGAAAGATCTTCTCCATGGGGTTGCTGACATGACAAGCTTGAATATCCAAATTGTAGAGTGTCATCAAAAGGTTAAGTGTTTTAAAGAAGCTTTGCAGAACCAGAGGGCAACCCTAGGCATAAATGGGCATTCAAATCTTGCTAGTATCCAAAAGAGTGCTTATCTTCAAGTTAGTGGCAGTGTATATTCTACATGGTTTCATCTAATTGAGACCATGTTCCATAGCTTCGCATGCATGCATTAGCAATCAAGAACCATATCAGAGATTGTCTGCACCAACAAAAGTTTGAGTTGGAAAGACTGGAACACTCATATCAGCAGACTCTCAGTGGTAAGAGGTCATCATTCATGAATACCCTTGTATTTGACTTGCCTTGAAGAACAAAGACTTCAAAACCACACAGAAGCATCTGTGAAGCAACAAGAACCAGGAATAGCCAAGCTTGCCAGTAGCTACAATAATCTGTGTCTGCAAATTGTAGGCCTCATACACAAGGGAAAAGCTCCTCAGGGGTCAATAGCCCCACTCCTGATTCCAAGGGACTCTTTGTTAAACTGGATGTGGATGATGATATTTGGCAGGATATTGGCCTTGGGGATGATTCAGATGGGTTACTACTCCCATGGTTAGCTGATGAAAAAGTGTGCTCAGGGATCAGATCACTCCTTGAGCTGAGGTGTTGTGAAGAAGAGGAAAGGTGCCTGTTGCAGGAAAGAAGAGCTTTGACAGAGTGGTTTTCTGAAGAGTGGGGTCATGTGCAGAAAACCAGACAGAGTGCTGGTAAGAGACATGTGTCATTGCATTACCATGACTAACACACATTGCAGATGTTGATCTTGCATATGAACTTGACTGCAGAGCATTGAGACTAGCAGGTCCATGCATCTTGTGGAAGAGGCCACTTAGAGGCTATCCTGGAACACCTAATGAGAACTGGGGTGCAAGTGATGAAGAACTGCACAGCATGGTGCAGGGTGGTCATGTTATATATATTGATAGTGATAATGAGGAGAGGTTTGATGGATTGGAGTCAGAGGGTGAAGAGGATGAGGATGAAGTGATGGATGATGAGTTGCTATGTGTTGCTGAAGAATTTGCCCTGGCAGATGAATATCACCAACAAAGTGATATGCCATTGGAAGAATTCTGTTGGGGAGAAGAATGGGAGAATGACCTACTGGATATGGATCCACCATCATCTCCAAGTAAAAGAGTTCAATACAGATAAGGGTGATAGAGACATATTATAATCTATTTGGTGTGTTTAAATAGAAATTTTTTTGAGCATCATGTTTGCAAGACATATGCATGGGTAAAATGTAGAATGATCCCACTGGTTGGCAGAGGGGTAGGTGGGATGTCCCACTGCTTGACAGAGAGGGGGTGGGATGTCCCAATGTAGCCTTAGGGGCTGTTGTGGGACATCCCACTGCTTGCCAAAGGGGAGGGTGGGACATCCCAATGTAGCATTAGAGGCTGCTGTGGGACATCCCACTGCTTGCCAGAAGGGGGGAGGGATGTCCCAATGTAGCCTTAGAGGCTGTTGTGGGACATCCCACTGCTTGGCAAAGGGGAGGGTGGGATGTCCCAATTTAGCCTTAGAGGCTGTTGTGGGACATCCCACTGCTTGCCTAAGGGGAGGGTGGGACATCCCAATGTAGCCTTAGAGGCTGCTGTGGGACATCCCACTGCTTTCCAGAAGGGGGGTGGGATGTCCCAATGTAGCCTTAGAGGGTATTGTGGGACATCCCACTGGGTGACAAAGGGGAGGGTGGGATGCCCCACACCAGTCTCAGAAGGGGGACAGTGGGATGTCCCAACTTAGCCTAAGAGGCTGTTGTGGGATATCCCACTGGCTGCTGGAGAGTGGGGTGGAATGTCAATATAACCCAAGAGGGTGTTCTGGGACATAGCCTCAGCTAGTGTTGCTGTGGCTCAGCTCCAAAGGCTGACCTGCTCAACAACAAGCAGCTTAGTCACTATGACAACTATTACCAAATGTAGCCTTGGGTTGCCACATACCAAATCCACAATAATTATTTTAATACTCAATAATATAGATGTGGTATGACCCTTGGCTGAGGACAGCTCCCTGAGCCACAGCAACACTACCCCCAGCTGCCAGAGGGGGAAGTGGGATGTCCCAATGTAGCCTTATGATGGAAATGTGACCAGAGCTGGGATTGAAGCAACCTCTTAGGTGATAAACAGTGCTCTAACAGTTGAGCAAATATATATTGTCCAGGTACTAATATCAGTAGCATGGGGGTAAACCAGTGACATGGGAACAAGACTATGTGAAGAGCAATGCACCATTCCCCACTTGCTCAGAGGCTGCTGTGGGACATCCCACTGGTTGCCAGAGGGGGGGAGGGATGTCCCAATGTAGCCTTAGAGGCTGTTGTGGGACATCCCACTGCTTGCCAGAGGGGGGGGAGGGATGTCCCAATGCAGCCTTAGAGGCTGTCAAGGGACATCCCACTACTTGCTAGAGGGGGGGAGGGATGTCCCAATGTAGCCTTAGAGGCTGTTGTGGGACATCCCACTGCTTGCCAGAGGGGGGGCAGGGATGTCCCAATGTAGCCTTAGAGGCTGTCATGGGACATCCCACTGCTTGCCAGAGGGGGGGAGGGATGTCCCAATGTAGCCTTAGAGGCAATTGTGGGACATCCCACTACTTGCCAGAGGGGGGGAGGGATGTCCCAGTGTAGCCTTAGAGGCTGTTGTGGGACATCCCCCTACTTGCCAGAGGGGGGGGAGGGATGTCCCAAAGTAGCCTTATGGGGAACATGTGACCAGTCCTACGATTGAACCAGTGACCTCCTAGGTGTTTGCCAGGTGCTGCAACCACTGAGCCATATGGTCTGGGTACTAGTGTCAGTAGCTTGGGGGCTTAGACTAGCACTGTGGGAACATATCTCCATGAAGTTAATGCACAGAATGCACCATCTCCAATGTGGTCCCTTCATCTGGCCACTTTTGGAGTGTAAAAACAGTGCACACCCCCTAGGGTCATGCAAATGGTCTGATTGCCTTTTGACCTTGTGTCATGTGATGGATCAGGATTTACTGCTGTGTTTCCAGGAGGCCTTACTATCAGCCACCTTGTGTCCATGTAACTCACATGATCTGGACTTACCAAGGATGCTGCATGACCCATTGTACTGAGCATGCATGGGTTCCAGATGCAGCTCATAACCTGATGAAAATGTGACCAGAGCTGGCATTGAGCCAGGACCCTCTCAGTGTCAAGAAGCTTCTCTGACCATGGAGCTACCTTGCATTGGATTCTCTATGGTGCTTGTAGGATTAGTGCAGATTACTACTTCAACACCTTAGAGGCTGTGTTGGGACATCCCTCTGGTTGCCAGAGGGGAGGGTGGGATGTCCCAATGTAGGCTTAGAGGCTGTTGTGGGACATCCCACTGCTTGGCAGAGGGAACAGTGGGATGTCCCAATGTAGCCTTAGAGGCTGTTGTGGGACATCCCACTGGTTGGCAAAGGGGAAGGTGGGATGTCCCAAGGCAGCCTTGGAGGCTGCTGTGGGACATCCCAAGTCCCCTTATGAAAGTCAGTGGGATGTCCCATCCCAGCCTCAGCAGGCTATGATGGCACATCCTCCTAAGTTACCTTTGCAGACCAGCACAATGCCCCATGATGACCTCAGAGGCTCATCTGGGACATTCTGTCCTCTGCAGATGGTGTTGCAAAGGTGACCAACCCCATGTTCTATGTGGGGGACTTTGAGATATTGGCTTGTCACACAAGTGTTCAAAAACCATTCACTTCTTCCTTCATACAGTACAAATTGCATGAGGTATAGACACAAATTGATTGAATTTATTATTGCAATTTTCAAGGAAAATGTGGAGGCCCAGGTGGGTCATCTCCCTGGCAACTAGTGAGATGTCCCAATACAGCAGAATCACATTGCAAAGATGTACATGAAAAGTACTATTGTATACTACTATGCATGGTGAGATGGGAGGGGATGTATAGGTCAAAGGATACTTTGTGGATTAAATCTGTCAGAGGAGCAAGGGGGCTAGCATTTCTGCAGCTATTTCAATGCTAATATAAGCTGCACTTTCAGGAGTAGGGACCCAAGTCACCCAAGGCAGTCTTGGGACATCCCAAATAATTGCATTTGAATGGATGGCTATGTGGAAAATCTCATCTGTCCCAGGGCCTAAAAATCTGCATAGCCTTGGGACATGACCAGATGTCCCTGGGCAGACCTTGGTCTGGGAGACTATTAGGCTGGATGGTTTGGAGAAACTATTCAGCCTAAATGCTTATGAAAAATGGTTACCTGAAGTGATCAGGTTGAGCCACCGCACCATGCACTGGGCACACCCAATTTTTACCTTCCCATTGAACATCTGGTCACTTTGCCTGGGCATCACAGTTTCACACAGCTGCCTCAGGAGACTTCAGCCCTCTGCACTGCTTCTGCTACAAACTCCCCTCCCCTCACAGGAGCTTGCCTCCCATCTGAGGATGAGCTTGCCCCTGCCCATTTGGATTGTCTAATGGAGGGGCTACATGTCAGTCACAATGACTTCTTTGTCCCACCATCTTTGCCATCCTGCAATGCTCACAAGAAAATGAGACAATGGCAGCAGTGGTCATCTGAAACCATCCCCTCACTCATCAAGCCCTATCTTGCATATTGACGGCTCTCTAGAAATTTCCAGCACTGCATTGACTATGAGTGACCAGAGTGTAGTTGCATTTCTTGATGGTTGAAGGTTCTTTGTGTTAGTTTCAATGGTAAGATTTTATTGCATGTGTTCCTCTCTACTTAGACATATGTCTTGTGCCAGGTTTGCAAATGGTTGATCTCACCATCTGTCCATGTGTGCCAGCAGCACTTCAGCTCCTGCAGATGGGGTACTTTCCATCTGCACCACTGGGGCCAACCCTTGCTGTCAGTTTACAGCTTCTGAGTCTAGTCAGGCAGGTCTTTACTGCACATGCCCCCAAACATTTCTGTGTGGTGCAAGTCCATTGAAGCATATCTTGCTAGCATGGGCTACAAGGTAGACACAAAGTTTTGTGTCTGAATTCTGTCCCAATGATTATATTATCTGTATCCACTGTTTTCATTTATGTTGTGATTATGAGACTACAGTTTTTTGTATGTCTAACCTATTGGGACTTTGTTGTTTGTGTCTAATGAATGATTGCACTGTGGTTGTATGAATGTGCACATGTCTGCAGATCTGATCTTGTGCTGTGTTTATCAAGTCAATGCATGCTTTTAACTATTTCCATCCATATCTATTAATGATGTTTGCTAATGATACTTACAGGAAGGTATATATCAAAGGTTTAGTAATGCATACCACTGGTATTGCATCCTGGAAATCTCAGTTGATGAATATGTTCAACAACACCTGGAAAGTGCTGCAACCCCACCAGCTGACATCCTCCCTGCAGTTCCATCATCCTCTCACCACCCTCTAGATGTCTCAAGTTCAGGGACATGGCCTTCAGAATACCTATGAAAGTGTTGTCCATTGTGCTTTGGTAGTTGCAACTGGAAAAATAATAATGGGTATGTTTCTTGATGCACATACATAATCTTACTAAATAGTCTTGGGTCCTAGCTCCTCTGATCCTGATGCAATTGTTTGCATTGATGCTTGCTTTGCCCAGAAACATAGACGAAGTCAACAGGATGATCCAGTAAACCCTACAGGTTCAGTTTTTCTGTCACAAGAAGACATTAATACTATGGAATGTGAGGTTGAAGGTTTGAGAAGGACAAAGGCATCAATGCAAAAGAGGAGTGGTCAGTCTTCTAAGAAGAATTGTGGAGATGAGGATAGATTTGAGCAGGGTATGAGGATACCACCATCAGTCCTCAAGGGTTGTAATGAATCCTTCACTGCAGCTGATGAGAGATGTCAGAAAGTGAGCTTAATCATTTAACCTGTCTGCAATATTCTGATGGTGGTATAGGCAAGTACCCAATTCTTTTCAGATACTGGAGTTATGGCCCTACTCTGTTTGTCATGATTGTGTTATTCACCTTGCCAACATGACTTCAGCAGGGGAGAAGCAACACTATGCACTTGCCCTTATCAAATCATTATTCAGTCACCTCCCTGATAATTTTCACATTGGGCTGTTATATGACATAGGCTGTCAGCTTGAACAGAGCTGCAGAAATTGGGGCTACCTTGGGCCATTTCTGCCCCAAACTTCTTTTGCTATATCAGTCTTTCATGCCTTTGGTCATCAATGGGCTTGCCAGCTCATCTATCACCCTCAGAAATGAGAAGGGTTTGGACTTTCTGATTGGAGAGGGTTGTGAGTGATTTTGGAGTTCAATTAAGCCACTAATACCATCTCTGTGAGTTTCTGGGGTATGCAGTTAGTTGTGTCACAAAATGCAGCCTAATATTTTATTCAGTATCATCAATGCCTCTTTGTCATTGACTTCCAGGTGCACTATCTTGACATGAAGAGTCTTACTGGTCTTGGCCAGTGGCTTTTGTGGCACTGGAACCACTGTCAAGAAAAAAAGGCTTCTGCCAAAAAGGGTCTAAGAAAATCTGGAATCAATATTCAGACACTTCAAGCTGAATGGGAGGCTCAGGTTTCAGTACAAACCAAGCCAGCATCTCATAAGCTTCCTGTATAAGTGATTCCTCTTGCTGTGAGCTGACAGTAAATTAAGGGTACTCTGCAAAAGCCACAGAAAATTTTATAATGCAAATGATGGCAACTCAGAAATCACTGGAAACTTATGATGCCAGACTAGATGAACTGGAGAAGGGTCTTCTCTGAGGAGGAGCTGATATGACAAATTTAAATATACAGATAGCCAAGTGTCACAAAAAGATTATGTGTTTCAAACAAGAACAAGCTTCACAAAGACAGAGGGCAAGCCTTGGAATAGATGGGTTTGCAGAGCTTTCCAGGCTCCAGAATAGTTCCTTTCTTCAGGCTGGTGGTTCTTCCTCCTCTAGATTTATAAGTTGATTGAATTCAAAGCATTCAGCTGTGTATGCATGCATTGGCAATCAAGAAGCATATCTGAGACTGTCTGTGTCAACAAAAGTTTGAATTAGAGAGACTAGAATGGTCTTACCACCAGACAGTTAGTAGTAAGTGGTGCTCTTAAGCATTTGCCTCCTGTGGTTGACTGCTTTGAAGAACAAAAACTTCAAATCCATGTGGAAGGATCTATCCGGCAACAAGAACCTGGAATTGTCAAGCTTTCTACCTCCTACAATAATTTGTGTTTGCAGTTGGTAGCTCTCATCCACCAGGGGAAAGCCCCTCAAGGGGCCATAGCACCTATACTGATCCAAAGGGATGGTTTGTTCAAACTAGATGTGGATGATGATATCTGGCAGGATATTGGTCTTGAGGATGATTCTGTGGGATTGCCACCAGCTTGGTTAGCTGATGAAAGGGTGCACTTGGGGATCAGGTCACTCCTTGAGCTGAAGAGGTGTGAGGAGGAGGAAAGGAGGCTCCTGTATGAAAGAAAAAGCTTGATGGAATGGCACTCAGAAGAATGGAGATGGCTGGAGAAATGCAGAGTGGATGCAGGTAAGAGAGCTGTTGTGTCATTGAATGTATTAAGACAATTGAATGAAAATCAGGTGCAGATCTTGCATATGAACTGGACTGCAGGGCTTCAGCATTAGCAAGTCTGAGTCTCCTGTGGCAGGAAAAATTGAGGGACTTTCCAGGAGGTGCTGATGAGAGCTGGGAGGCAAGGGTTGAAGAATGGAGGAATATGGATTATGTACCACTCATCATGAACATGGACAGAAATGAAGAGGTGGGATGGGAGGACTTGGAATCTGAAAATGATGATGGGGATGATGAAGTGCTTGATGATGACTTGCTGTGTGTTGCTGAGGAATTTGCTCTTGCAGATGAATATCACCAACAGTTCAGTGAGATGTCATTGACAGAGTTCTCATGGGCAGATGACTGGGAATTAGATGTATTAGATATGGATCTCCCATCATCTCCAAGTAAAAGACCATGTAGGTAGTAAAGCTAGTCTTGTATGTCTCTGAAAAATTCATTAGATGAGTTCCCATGGCATCTGAGGTATTTTAATATACCAGGAGTATGCAGAATTGGGGGGATGGCCCCCAGTACCCTCCAAAGCTATGATGAAACATGCTACTGGCCTCAAGAAAGGGGGTGGGATGTCCCACAGTAGCCTCTAAAGCTTTCATTGGACATCCCACAGTACCTTCCAAAGCTACCATGGGACATCCCATTGGCCTATGGAAGGGGGGGTGGGATGTCCCACAGTAGCTTCCAAAGCTACCATGGGACATCCCATTGGCCTATGGAAGGGGGATGGGATGTCCCACAGTAGCCTCTGAAGCTATGATGGGACATCCCACTGACCTCTGGAAGGGGGGGTGGGATGTCCCACAGTAGCCTCTGAAGCTATCATGGGACATCCCATTGACCTCTGGAAGGGGGGATGGGATGTCCCACAGTAGCCTCTGAAGCTATGATGGGACATCCCACTGGCCTATGGAAGGGGGGGTTGGATGTCTCAGAGTGGCCTCCAAAGCTATCAAGGGGCATCCCACTGTCCCAGGCATGGGGCCCCATGCCAATTAGATCATATAGCATCCTATGCCAGTGGGGCACTCACATGCTCATCCCCCACAATAGAATCATTTTGATACTATGTATGTATGTATGTATGCACCTCAGCTGTAAGTTGGAAACAAAAGTAGTGATCCTAGTAAGGAGTGACTGTTGTAACAAATGCAAGAACTTACAATACTATTGGGGGGATTCTGAATCCATTAACCTTTAGTAATTGACAGGTTCACCTTCATCCACATTGTACAATTCTGCAGATGGCATCACACAAACACACTCATTGCCCAGTAGTCTTCATATATCACTTAATATGTATAGCAAGTGTTTTTTTGGGAGGGTCATGTTTTCATCCATCCCCACAGTTTGATAGGTATGCTCATTGTCTGGATGATGATCATAACAGCAATGTGTTTGTGATTGAAAGCTGGCATTCCAATGTGGGTGTGAGCTGCACTTTTGCAGTTGAAGACCCCTGACACCTAAGGCAGCCATGGGACAGCCCAAAATATATTACCAGGGGGCTGGGATTATGGGTCATCCCAGGTCCTGCACACTGCAAATAGCCCTGGGACATGGCCAGATGTCCCTGGGATGACCTGGTCTGAGTGGCTTTTAGCTGGGATGATTTGTAGAAAAACTTCAGCCCAAATGCTTATGAAAGTTGGTTACCTGAAGTGCATGTGTTGCGACTAAGTGTGACTACACTATGTGACTAATACCAGTGACTACTCTGTACACTGAGAACTTACACCTTTGTTAACTTGGAGTCCAGGAGACATGTACTATTTCAGAGTAAGAGTAAGCTAGTACATACACTTTTAAGAAGACCTTGTGAGGCCAGTTCATCACAGTTCAGATGTGTCAAAGTGGGCCAAAGTTGCCACTTCAGGAAGTCACTTTGAATCCAGCTCGAACTGAGTCCAGTTTGCTGGAGTACCCATGGCTGAAGGTAGTGATATGTAGATTGGTTGTGTCACACAATGCTCGGAGCTGCAACCAACTCATAACCAATGAAAGAAATGCTTACCGGTGACCATTCTGGCACTAAGAGATTACTAAGAGATTCATATATCCTGCGTGCTGGCAGTTCAATCCCTGTGATAGTCATATGTAGGCCTGATTTTACAAAGGTATCGGTATCCCCCGAGCAATACACTACTTCTTCCCGCCCTTTTTTTGCGGCTCACTGAATTTCACTTTATTCTCTGCCACCAGCGTAGCAAGTTGGTGGGTGATCGTCCATTGCTCCATCCTTGTACTCCCACTGCGCAATGCCGTGGTCAGGGGCTCCTTGACCGTTTCGAACCTCGTCTCAAGGACCTCAGCGTGAAGTTTCGCGAGCCGACACAGGATCGTTGCATAGTGCCATGCTCCCAACGGTGAGGATATATCCAGCTTTTCAACTAGCCGTTCAAAGAGGTGGACGATCTGCAGGCCAGTAAAAGAGTCAAAAAGGAATCGATATGACAAGTGCCTGGTATGCCACGTACATTCCCACTGTCATCACTTCGCAGGACTGCCACGGGCAGGGACACGACAGAACCATCGGCCTCAACCCCATATACAGGGAAGTCCGTGATGCGCACGGCCTCCAAGAACTTGACCGACGCAGTGAGGTACATCCTGAGCTGGTTCGTTGCTTGCGCCATATTACCCGATTTCTTCTTGTACTCCACCGCGACGAGAGGCAAATCTAAAAGCGAATCCTGTTCCTCAATCTTTAAATGCTGTAACTGTGAAGTTATCGTGTCCACGGCGGCTGTTGTGGCCACATCAGTCCGAAGGAAGGGTGATGCCGCCGTGGAAATTGTGTATCGGCGGGGTTTACTGTGGACACTATCGTCGCGCTTGGAACCCCCGGGCTTCGCCGCATCACTGGCCCCAGCCTCATCTGACGGATGGGTACGGACGAGTGGGAACTGGCCAAGATGTTTACCTGATACACCTGAGAGCCTCACCCGCAAACGCCCTAATGCATCACATTTTCCGTCCTTCGGAAACCTTCCAAGTCTTCTCGTCGTGGCGGATTCTTTCTCGTCCTGCCTTTGATTCACCCAGTGCGAAAACTGAGAAGTAACGTAGGCATAGCGCGCTAGTTCGGTGTTGGAAACTCGTCGCTTTTCTTCAACAGCACTACCACGTGACTCGAGCAACTGTTCGGTGGCGCGACGATCAGAACGAAGTAGGGGCTCCATTGATTGCTCAAACCCGTTCGGGATGGGTCGCAGCACATCGCTCTTGGGAAAGCGGAGGGTAGTTTCAAGACTAGAGGGCTGTCAGAACTGATCCCTTCACGTCGACAACGACGTACGTTGGGCGAACTCGTGGATCTTCAAGATCTGCAATGGATGTGGCGCCACCCGAGAGAGTTCCACTATCGGACTCAACGAGACGGATGAAGAAGTCGAACAGAAGACGATCAAGGTCATGACGCCACGATACTTCACATTGATCGCCATTATCCTTCTTTTCACGGGAACGGCGCGACGCTTGGAAGATTGCAGAAAAACTCTCTTCAAGGATTCGCAGGTCGACTGGGAATTCATCCGGATGCCAAAGTTTCACTGCATTTTCATTTTTGGACTTGATGGCAGAAACGGTAGTGAGTAATTCTTGGACGCATGGCTCAAGTGCAGCGTCAACGGGTGGTAGATCTTCCTGCAGGTAACGATGAAAAAATGGCAATACACAACATACAACGACGCACTCTGCTAATCCACGTCTGTGGCCAAATCAAGCCCGTCATCGCGACGTATTCGCGACGGAACTGCTCATCCGAAGACGCGAGAGACCGCGGCGCTACTCGTCGGTCGAATAGCCAACCAAACATCCTGATATCGGTGTCCTCCGAGGTGTTCGCAAAGCTACCCAATAAAATGCTCATCAAGGGTGAAAGATGGCCCGTGAAAATACATACCGGGAGCGTGACAGTGGCGAATGGAAAGTTGAAATGGCGTCAGACATTGCACTGGAAGGTGGGCCTGCCTTGTCCCGGCCTTCATCGGATGTAACGATTACCCTAGGCGGCCAACCATTACAAAAGGACACCACTGTGAGATAACACTCACTGGATGGGCGAATGAGGGGATGGTTCTGCACCGCGCTCGCGGCCTCCTGACGATATATCCCTAAAGATTTGTTCGAGAGGGTGGAGAAAGAAAAAGAGAGAACAAACTCTGAATGTTCCTGGCTCTCCTGCCACTTTATAATCCTATCCCGCACGATCTCCGTCTTTGAAGGGAAAACAGCGTCTTCTTCCCGAAGGTCCGTATCAATCCGCCAAGAACGGGCCGTGTTGGCGTGGGTCTCGGCAGCAATGGTGCCCGCAACATTCCCAACTCCGTCACGGACGCTACATATGGGTGCCTCTAGGCTCATGAACAGCCGCGAGACCGCAAGAGATACGAGCGGCGATGATAAATCCAGGGTGACAGACGTTTCGATGCTGCCGAGATGCACGCGTGGCTCAACACGAGGTCAGTTTTGGGGGAGTCAGACGAACGCCAGGTGCTCACAAGGATACGGTCCGTAATGGTGCCCTCTAGCCATCCAAGGTACAGACGGATTGTCGTGTCATATTTTGAGAATTCTATTCCAATCAACGGGCCATCGATGTGCCATACACGTCGCTGGTAGAGTAGACTGGTCATCACCACTGGAAGGTGCTCCTCGGTGGCCATGCAAAGCACAGGTATGTGACACGAAGATGGCGGAGGGACAGATGGAGGATACGCAAGGAAATGGGCCTCGAATTCTGGTGAGAGAACCCGAGCTGTGGGATCTTCCTCAACGTCTTTCTCCACCTCTTCGATCGTAGTGGGCCGTGCGAGGAACTCGGACATCGTGACTGATGGTGGCAACTGCACTGGCCAACATTCATCGCTACATTCCTCCTGCTCCGAGTGTTCATGGCTATCGTGTTCTTCATCCTCAACAGGCATTTTCTGGCAGATTGAGATGACGAGTGGCGCGCTGAGACTCTTTGTGATGTACTTTAGTACTGGGGTTAGCCTCTCACTAAAATGACGGGGAAGCGCTACGGGGACGTCCTCGCTGAAGGACGCAGAGTAGATTGACGAACACATGCAAATGAAGGGGTAAGATCGACCTACAGTGAAGAAAGTCCTGAGATGACATTCAAGATTGCGTTTCGCACGAGGACTATGACGAAAGATTCCTTGGGCACAGGCGCTTCTGGTAGTTGTTGTTCTATCTTGACAGCCATCTGAACCCTGGCACAGTCGGAGAGGGCGGTGGCAAAGGCGAAGTGGAGTCGCTGGGAATTGTCATCGACAGTATCCACATCCTCCCAAAGGTGGCGCATCGACGCGTCGTCTGTCGTCCGACGTAGTTGGTCGAGCAGATGGACGGCTCGCTTGTCCGCATACGGGGTCAGCTCCTTCGGAAGTGGTGGCCCAAGGTAAATGGTCTAGAATTGAACAGACCGTCATACACTCACTGATTTCAACCATGAAGGCACCTTGAACGCGTCGGACATGGTCTTGGCGAGCAGAACGGTGGCGGGGGGCCAGGTAGAGATATCCTTGCAGTGCAAGGCATCCTCACTGATCAAGTTCACATACGACGCCATGCTGGCTGGTGGACCGAAGAATGTTAATCACTCGATGGTGCTTGCTCCTTTTAAACAGCAAGCTCAGGCCAGTTTATTACCCACGTGGAATTGCATCCGAAGAACTACGAAGATTTAGGTAAAACTGGTTCTGTAATGAGCGAATAGACCACAGTAGATCCAAGTTCTCGATCAGACCGTTTACTATTAGTCTCTGGAAGCATCTTGGTAGATCGGTACACCGTTCGTCCTCACCCTCATTCTCATTCTCATTTCATCCACCCCGCCCCCCTCTATGCTCGATCATTTCTCCTTGTCTTCGTCACTGACGGACCACCAACCAGATATCCCTAGTACCGACTTCCTCACCTTTGACTAACCCGCCCACGCGTGCACCCTTCCCTATTCCTATGCACCTCAGAACTCGGCGACGTATCGGGCCCGAGTGGATCTTTGCTTCCCTCCATAATGAAAGAATAACTCGCCGCAGTCGAGACATATAATGTTTTGTAGTACACCCCCGCGAACCTCCTCTCCCTCTGCGAGCAGTATCCTGTATGCATGGGTGACGCCGCTGGATCCTTTGATCCAGCATACCGGTTGGTAGTCGTGGCTACGAAGGGAAGTTTCAGGACCCTGACAACAAGTCCTCCCCGCTGCGAAGGTAAGCCGAGAGATCTTGCTGCATTCGTTTCGAGAGGACTTGAATGGATTTGAACTGTCCTCGACCACCCTCGTACACAATATACCCTGCAGGTCAAATGCTGCAATGCCTACATGCAGATGAAGTGACTTGTGCAAATCAAATCTCAACAACTAACTGCCGATAGTCGGGGTGACTTTGTTTATGGGTGCAATGGCCGTCAACCGGAACTTGATGAGCAAATGCTATCGCAAATTTTACCCGTTGACTGGAATAGAGTTCGCAAAATATGACACGACAATCCGTCTGTACCTTGTATGGCTAGAGGACGCCACTCCGGACCGTATCCTTGTGAGCACCTAGCGTGCGTCTGACTCCCCCAAAATTGACCTCGTGTTGAGCCACGCGTGTATCTTGGCAGCATCGAAACGTCTGTCACCCTGGGTTTATCATCGCCGCTTGTATCTCTTGCGGTCTCGCAGCCGCTCATGAGCCTAGAGGCACCCATATGTGTGTATGGCACGTCGAGGGCCCGTTGATTGGAATAGAATTCTCAAAATATGACACGACAATCCGTCTGTACCTTGGATGGCTAGAGGACGCCACTCCGGACCGTATCCTTGTGAGCACCTGGCGTTCGTCTGACTTCCCCAAAACTGATCTCGTGTTGAGCCACGCGTGCATCTCGGCAGCATCGAAACGTCTGTCACCCTGGATTTATCATCGCCGCTCGTATCTCTTGCGGTCTCGCGGCTGTTCATGAGCCTAGAGGCACCCATATGTAGCGTCCATGACGGAGTTAAGAATGTTGTGGGCACCATTGTCGCCGAGACCCACACACACACAGCCCGTTCTTGGCGGATCGATTCGGACGTTCGGGAAGAAGACGCTGTTTTCCCTTCAAAGACGGAGATCGTGCGGGATAGGATTATAAAGTGGCAGGAGAGCCAGGAACATTCAGAGTTTGTGCGCTCTTTTTCGTTCTTCACGCTCTCCAACAGACCATTAGGGACATGTCGTCAGGAGGCCGCGAGCGCGGTGCAGAACTATCCCCTCATTCGCCCATCCAGTGAGTGTTATCTCACAGTGGTGTCCTTTTGTAATGGTTGGCCGCCTAGGGTAATCGTTACATCCGATGAAGGCCGGGACAAGGCAGCCCCACCTTCCGGTGCAATGCCTGACGCCATTCCAACTCTCTGTTCGCCACTGTCATGCTCCCGGTATGTATTTTCACGGGCCATCTTTCACCCTTGATGAGCATTTTATTGGGTAGCTTTGCGAACACCTCGGAGGACACCGATATCAGGATGTTTGGTTGGCTATTCGACCGACGAGTAGCGCCGCGGTCTCTCGCGTCTTCGGATGAGCAGTTCCGTCGCGAATACGTCGCGATGACGGGCTTGATTTGGCCACAGACGTGGATTAGCAGAGTGCGTCGTTGTATGTTGTGTATTGCCATTTTTTCATCGTTACCTGCAGGAAGATCTACCACCCGTTGACGCTGCACTTGAGCCATGCGTCCAAGAATTACTCACTACCGTTTCTGCCATCAAGTCCAAAAATGAAAATGCAGTGAAACTTTGGCATCCGGATGAATTCCCAGTCGACCTGCGAATCCTTGAAGAGAGTTTTTCTGCAATCTTCCAAGCGTCGCGCCGTTCCCGTGAAAAGAAGGATAATGGCGATCAATGTGAAGTATCGTGGCGTCATGATCTTGATCGTCTTCTGTTCGACTTCTTCATCCGTCTCGTTGAGTCCGATAGTGGAACTCTCTCGGGTGGCGCCACATCCATTGCAGATCTTGAAGATCCACGAGTTCGCCCAACGTACGTCGTTGTCGACGTGAAGGGATCAGTTCTGACAGCCCTCTAGTCTTGAAACTACCCTCCGCTTTCCCAAGAGCGATGTGCTGCGACCCATCCCGAACGGGTTTGAGCAATCAATGGAGCCCCTACTTTATTCTGATCGTCGCGCCACCGAACAGTTGCTTGAGTCACGTGGTAGTGCTGTTGAAGAAAAGCGACGAGTTTCCAACACCGAACTAGCGCGCTATGCCTACGTTACTTCTCAGTTTTCGCACTGGGTGAATCAAAGGCAGGACGAGAAAGAATCCGTCACGATAATAAACCTTGGAAGGTTTCCGAAGGACGGAAAATGTGATGCATTAGGGCGTTTGCGGGTGAGGCTCTCAGGTGTATCAGGTAAACATCTTGGCCAGTTCCCACTCGTCCGTACCCATCCGTCAGATGAGGCTGGGGCCAGTGATGCGGCGAAGCCCGGGGGTTCCAAGCGCGACGATAGTGTCCACAGTAAACCCCGCCGATACACAATTTCCACGGCGGCATCACCCTTCCTTCGGACTGATGTGGCCACAACAGCCGCCGTGGACACGATAACTTCACAGTTACAGCATTTAAAGATTGAGGAACAGGATTCGCTTTTAGATTTGCCTCTCGTCGCGGTGGAGTACAAGAAGAAATCGGGTAATATGGCGCAAGCAACGAACCAGCTCAGGATGTACCTCACTGCGTCGGTCAAGTTCTTGGAGGCCGTGCGCATCACGGACTTCCCTGTATATGGGGTTGAGGCCGATGGTTCTGTCGTGTCCCTGCCCGTGGCAGTCCTGCGAAGTGATGACAGTGGGAATGTGCGTGGCATACCAAGCACTTGTCATATCGATTCCTTTTTGACTCTTTTACTGGCCTGCAGATCGTCCACCTCTTTGAACGGCTAGTTGAAAAGCTGGATATATCCTCACCGTTGGGAGCATGGCACTATGCAACGATCCTGTGTCGGCTCGCGAAACTTCACGCTGAGGTCCTTGAGACGAGGTTCGAAACGGTCAAGGAGCCCCTGACCACGGCATTGCGCAGTGGGAGTACAAGGATGGAGCAATGGACGATCACCCACCAACTTGCTACGCTGGTGGCAGAGAATAAAGTGAAATTCAGTGAGCCGCAAAAAAAGGGCGGGAAGAAGTAGTGTATTGCTCGGGGGATACCGATACCTTTGTAAAATCAGGCCTACATATGACTATCACAGGGGTTGAACTGCCAGCATGCAGGATATATGAATCTCTTAGTAATCTCTTAGTGCCAGAATGGTCACCAATAAGCATTTCTTTCATTGGTTATGAGTTGGTTGCAGCTCCGAGCATTGTGTGACACAACCAATCTACATATCACTACCTTCAGCCATGGGTACTCCAGCAAACTGAACTCAGTTCGAGCTGGATTCAAAGTGACTTCCTGAAGTGGCAACTTTGGCCCACTTTGACACATCTGAACTGTGATGAACTGACCTCACAAGGTCTTCTTAAAAGTGTATGTACTAGCTTACTCTTACTCTGAAATAGTACATGTCTCCTGGACTCCAAGTTAACAAAGGTGTAAGTTCTCACATCAGGAAAATAACACTTTACTATTTTTGACTTTTTGTGACTAATGTGACTTTTTGGGAAGGAATCTACTATCATTACCCATGTCCTGCAGGCATGGCTGCACTTTTCTTGCTGATTTTGGTCTTGTTCAAACCACCTAATTCATAGCTTTTAGTAGATACCACATACATTCAAATTGATGGAGGTTCCAAAGAGATACTGTGATTTTTCTCTCAGACAGTGTGCATCACACCAGTGGCTCAATATCTCTGAATTTTCAGACATTTTCTAGTCTTCTTGGCTTAGATATATCATCACTTAGTTGTCTCAATAGATTCTGCTCTCTTTTCATTCTTCAAAATGCTGTATATGGTCAAAAAAAAGTACAGATAGTAGGTTCCTTCCCAAAAAGTCACAAATAGTCACAATAGTCACAAAAAAGTCAAAAACAGTCAAAAAAAGTCACAAAAAGTCACAAAAAGGTCAAAAATAGTAAAGTGTTAATTTCCTGATGCAGTGTACAGAGTAGTCACTGGTATTAGTACCTAATGAAGGTGTAAGCTCTTATTTCACAGAGGATGGGCTATGGTACGAAGAGCAAAGACAAGAGCACTTGCCTTATAAGGTTTGAGTTAGCAGTTTAGACTTTGAAATAAAGTTTGTAGGGACTCTTGTTCTTGAGAGAATGGTAGAACAAATGCAAAATTTGATAGTGAGTCAGGGTTGAAAACCCTGAGTTTATATACATGTTTCCATATGCATGGACCAGTAACATAAAAGGAAACTGTTACTACATATAGTAAGGAACAGCAGAGAATGCTATGGAATACAACACAATAAGTGATGTCATTCTGACATCACTGTGTAGCTGATTTCTAAGGCAAGTCATATGATACAACACATGTATCAAAACATGTAAATCTAGATGAATCTACATGTTGGACATATTATTATATTTCCAACACTCCCCCTCACTCTAAAATGGGAGATTAACAAGTCCCATCAACAAGCAATTCATTTCAAATTTTTGCCATGTCAAGGATTTAGTAAGACCATTGGCTTTTTGTTAATCAGTTTGAACATATTTGATACCAAATAAACCCTCTTTTACACATTCATGTACATAGTGCCATTGGATGTCAATATGCTTGGAGTGTCCATCTGAGACTGGATTCTCAGCTATAAAGTGAGCACCCATATTGTCACAGTAGAGAATGGTCTTCTTGGTTTTAAGTTTAAATTCATCAAATAGCATGTGGAGCCATTTGATTTGATGTGCAGCATCACAGAGAGCCATATGTTCAGCTTCTGTAGAGGAGAGGGCAACAGTCTTCTGTTTACATGATTGCCAAGAAATGAGGGATGTTCCAAGGAACATTGTGTAACTGGTAGTTGAATGATGTGTGTCTTTATTTGAAGCCCAATCAGAATTGGCAAAGCCAAAGATCCACAATATGAGTCCAGAATAATAAAGCACTAATTTTGGAGTAGACACAACATAGCAAACTATGTGCAAGGCTTTATTTTGGTGATCCTCAGTGGGATTAGCCATATATTGCAACATGCAAGTTACTGCAAAGGCAATATCTGGACGAGTTCCAAGTGCCATATAGAGTAAAGACCCTATAATTGACTGGTACTGAGAGCAGTGTCACACACCAAAGGTGTTTGGTGAGGTGGACATGGATACAGCTGATGAATGGAGATGAAGACCATAGCCCTCATGTGAAGAAGGACAGCCAGAAATGTCAGCAGTCATCCCTCACACAAGAACAAGTCATCAGTGCCAGAGAAAAAGAAAGGGAGTGAGTTAAGTGCTGGCTAAAATTCTTAAGCACCTGTGTATGGCATTCTGGTTTTTGACATATCTCTGCCATTTCTGCAGATACTGAGACCATTCCCACACTTGCTTGTAGTGCTCAGCCATGCAATCTTACCTTCCAAAATTGGAAAGGATTTGCACACTCCACACATTTCTACAGCACTCCCTCCAAAAGATGCTCATTTTGCTAAATTCTTCTGATATGGCCACCTCTACATCAATCATTTTGCTTGTCCCCTTTGCTAGGGACAATGGCTACATATATCTACCAGGAGTTCCTACCAGCTTCCATCCTGAAGCATCCTGGTACATCCCACCCTTGTCTGTGCCCTCTCAGCCCATCCAGCTTGGACAGTGTGTTCTTTTTGTCAGTATGACCTCTAGGAGGACGTTCTTTGGTCGCCTCAGGTCTGTCATTTGCTTGGAAAGGTCTTATGTGGTCATTTCAGTCTCTCCAGTCCAAGAAGCATATGGATCCTTCCTCCCTGCTCCCTGCAATGTCTTCATACTGGTCTTGTCCATCATTCTTCCAAGATTGTGACAGCTACAGTATAATCTACTGTTCTCCACTCTCCCTGATTGCATCCATGATGAGTATGATGCACATCTTGCCTCCTTGTTGCAAGATACAGCAGAAGACACTCCCCCTTCATCCTCTCTTCCAACAGAGCCTCATTCATGAAGTTTTTATTTGCTTCACTGAGAGGATGGTTTGGGGGGGAAGGTTGTGATCCCCTATGCTCCTGTCACCCCACAGACCCCCAAAGCTTGACCCCTGTTGACATCTGACTCACCCTGTCCACTTTTGGATGTACTATATCGGCATCAGATCAGCACTGCCTCTCTGTCATCCCACCTTGGCCTAGAAGTGATCTCTTCGAGATGTGACATGCACAGCCTCCCCCTAATGCAATTCCAGTGTGCTTTCCCAGTTCCTGACATTACTTGACTCATACTTTGACATTCTGACTGCCTTTGACTCACCTATTGCCAATACTTACCAATCTTTTGACTTTGCTTACTGGTTCTTTGCTTTTTGGCTTGCTAATCCTTACCAATGCTTACCAATGCTTTCCAAGATGATTACCCATTGCTTACATTCCTTACTGATCAGTTACCAATCAGTTACCAAGTGTTTGCACCTTGTTTTCCAAGGGCAACACCCATGTACTGTATATAAATCACTGTACTTAGATAGCAAAAAAAAAAGAAGACATCAGAGAGCCCCTCTTGCTTGCATTTTATCATCACTCAATAATTCATTCAGCAGCTTCGATAGTTGAGACTTTATTAAGGGTCTAACTATCATCTACTTTGCACTTATCCTTGTCTATCATCAATATACTTCACTCCAAGCCCTCCCTGAGCTCAGTGCAGCTTAGGACATCAAATTAAGTCATCATCCATCCTTCTGTAGGCTGACAGCAGTCTACCCTATCGCATTCTCTTGCATTCCTGCTTCTTCATCATCAGGAGCACCCCCAACCCTCAGCACTTGTCTTTGAGTGTTGTAGTTCACAAAAACCCTCCCAAAGAACAGGTTCTACCATCTAGGTACTGCATAGGCACACCACCACTCACTCTTTTTGTCTTTTGTGTTGGTTTTGGTTGGTTTTCACCACTGAACCACACTTTGACTCACACCATTTGGGTGGATGGTTGTGGAGAGCTTGAGTTTCCCATTATTCAGAATGAGAAGTTGCCAGTCAGGTTGAGTCTGGGAAGTGGTATTAGCCTGCTCATGACACACATGGAAATGTTCAAAGACTTTGGGGAACCAAGAATGAAGATGGGTGGTGACATTGTCATGGGACCATGATGTGTCAATTTCAATCAGTTTGTTGCAGGTAACATCCATGATCTTTCGAGCTGCTGGATGAATATCTTCCTATCTGCAAGTGGTAGGGGTAAGGGGTCTTTCAGCAACCAACCATTAGCCTTGATTTTTATTTGTGATGTAAGAATCTGCACATTGGAATGAAGAAACAGACTTACATCCAATCCACAAGTTATGATGGTGATGGAACCAACATGAAATTTCTGACTACTTGTGTGCCTCTGAGATGACACCTAGAATAGAATACTTAATCTGAATGATTCAGACATACCACTGGAAATACTTGCCTTGCACTCAGTAGAAGAAGTTACCTTCTGGACTAGCTTTGAAGTTTTTGTTGCTAGCACCTTGTAATGGGGATCCAATTGAGCAACCTGAGACAAGCCAGTGGGATGTTTGTTAGCAAGGCCTTCGAATATTCTTCCCACATTTGATGAGCCAGATATGGCAGGGAGAGGTTGGGTGGCAACCAAGGTACCATCAGTGTTGCAATGCTTGCTTATCCCATGCAGACATTCCAAGCAGTGGGCAGCATTGTCTTTTTGGGGGAAGAACACTTCACAGTCACAAGTACCATCACCACCCTGGCAGAGGCCCTCCTTGGCTGGCATTGATATGGGTGAGAACAAATGGGGTGTAAAGACAGATGAACAGAGCACCATGCAATTTATAATTGGTGCCAGCATACTAGATCAAAGTTTAAGACTTAGTAAGTAATATGCCAACGTGGATAAAGCCTGGCACCATAGATGTGCCTGGGAATACCAAATTGAGTCTGCTAACAAAATGTCCACATCTTTGGCTGCACATTGACCAATGTGAATAGATTCAATTGTCAGATATCTGTCCAAGCCCCACTCCACTGGCATCAACCTGAAACTCTCTGGTGTGATGTCCTGAGCAATTACCTCATGAAGACCACTGAAAAAGATTAGCTTGTCTTCATCACTCCTAAATGGATTTCAAAGCGAGGGTATGTGCATGGCTTCATGGTTAATATGTACTTGCTGTTGACATGTGATCACATCAGCTGTATCTGTTACTTCGTCATCAGCGAGGCCAAGTCCCTCAAGCTCTTCATGATCTTCATGATCTTGGTATACACCAAACTTGATTTGACCTAACAGGCACATATCCTTGTATATCATGGAATGAGTAGAGTAGTAAACTAACAAAACTGAAATCTTACCTTGGGACTCTTGTTGTTAGCACTTGGGCCACCTATCAGGTGGCAATTCCACTCCTCTCGAAACACCTGACAATTGTGATTGATATCGTTGAGGAAAAGTATATGGAATAACCAGGTATGCAATGTGTTGTTGACATCAAGCAAGTGAATATGTTCAAGCCAAGTGAAGAATGCATGCCAGCATCTGGTGAACTGAGATCTGACTTCAACCCACAAACACTCAATATGACAATTTCAAGTTGATCTAGGTTCATGTGTGATTAGCAATGATGAATACAAAAATAATGTAAAATATACTTACATTCCCCAGATAAACAAGTCTCAGTGGTGGCCATTCTTCATAATGACATAGGTTGTGACATCAAGGTTCTCACCACTGTGGTCTCCATGTACACAGGAAGGCATACTATATCCTTCAATCGCTTGTTTAAATACATGAAGGATGGTCACTGACTAATTATTATTGCTAGCACATATCACAGTAACCTAAGAATGAATCAACAAATGTTGCGAGTTAGACAACTGATAAATGTTTTGGAGGATGACAAGCTGCAGGATTGTCAAGTCTATAGAGAGGAATATACTCAGACTTCAAGTTGGTTGAAGCTGAGGTGCAGTAAAAAAAATATAAACTGCTAAGTGTCCGCTTTTGGATTACATAATGCTGTGCTCGGTGAACCACAACTAAGGTAAAAGTGATAAACTCCAACAAAATGTACCATGTGGCAAAACCCATTGATGAATCCATGGATAATGATCCCCCACTGAATCAATTTGTGGTGACCATCCATGTGCCATAATGCATTGGGTCACTTGACATGATACTTGTGCCTGGTCTTTGTACAGTGGTCTCATAAAGCTTGACTGAGGCGATCCACCCTAGAAAGTGACTGGATTACATGGTGATACTGAATGTGAACCCCCTTTGCCTGCATGAACCCAATGATATAATGAAGTCCAGATTCCAGCCATCTCTTCTTAATTCCTTGATGAGATTGTCGAGGTCTGCATTGCTAATCTCAGTGTACATATGCTCAATGCCATGGCACCTCATGTAAAGGTGCAGAGTATTTTGATGGATTCTGAGAAGGCATGCAAGTTCAGTGGAATGAATGTGTCTTGAGTTTGAAACAACCTCCTTGATAATGTCGATGTCAATGACCTTCCTTGGCCATCCTTGTAAACCAGTGTGAACTTCTGCTACCAGCTTTAGCATTTCTACATTCTCATCAACACTAAGCATGAAGAATGTGTATGTTAGGCTGATAGTGTTGGGAACCCTTTTTTTAAGTTTGCTCACCAAGTCCTCATGCTGTCTTGATACCATGCAATCACTGCATACAGCTTCCCAACTAGCTCAGTGGCATCTGAGAGCCACTTGGACAGGTCAGTGCCCACATGGTCTTCTTCAATCACTGTAAGGAGATGTATTGCATTTCCTTCCAGAAGGCTGAGATGACACTCAAGGTGAATTATATTGTTGTCCTCTTGGGTCCACACTTGGAAAGCATGCCAATAGATGTTGGAGAGCAAATCAACTGCCACGATGAGGTTATCTGGCCACAGTGTGGTACTTGCAGGCAGCTGAGGGATGGAACTGGGAAGCAATGTCACCATCGATGGGATGGGTCTTTGAGCTTGAAGCTGAAACCCCAGAATGCAATGTAACAGTATGTGGGATGTATGAGAACACAAGGCAACAAATAAACAATAACATATATAATTTTCCCTTACTGTTCCATCAGCTGTTTCGCCTTAATCATGACTGAATCAGTGCCAGTGACAGTCACCTGCCATCCTGAATTTTATTTCAAAAATGGCATGTTCATCTTCTGGGTTGAGAATACACTGTACAAACTCAATCATGACATCTTGGTGAATGAGTCCAAACTCTTCACTGACATCTTTTTGCTTGGCCAATATACACCAGACAGCCAGGAGGGGAAGGTTGATGGGCAACTGAGTATTCTTGGTGGCAAAAATTTGACTGCACAAACTTTTGACTTGTTCATTGAATTCAAGTTCATGTGGTAAGTCTCTGAGCACTCCCCTGATGGTGACCCTTACTGAATTCACTCATTCTAGTCCCTGTCCTTCCACCAAATATTCCTTGGATGACCTCAAGAACTTGCTGGAATTTGTCCACCATTTCCAATGCAGCACCCATATGCTCAGCTTCGTCACCTTTTGCATCATCAAGAGAGCATACTTCTTCCATCCTTCTGAACTCATTTATCTAGGCATTGAGTACAAGATTCAGGCCATCTTCGAAAGAGGTTTCACTAGGCTTTGCAAAGTCCCACTGATGAAGATTAAGAAGTCTCACTGTGTCTGGATGGTGATGGATACTTACATTGCATATGTCTATGTCAGGTCCCATTTGGATGAGTACATCCACATGGTCACTGCAGAATTTTCCCCCATTGTGCATTCTAGCAGCTGTCAGGATCACAAAGAGTGTGCTGAGGATTGGGCTGTAGTGTGGTGGAACAGTATGGGGTGACTCCTCCTTGATGGAAGGAACCCATGGCATTTGGACGAAGCTATTGATCACTTCAAAGGATTGCAATTTGGCCAGGTTGGTGTGGATCATAAGAGGCATATGTTTTCACATATAATGAACCTGAACAAACCACTTGTGCATTCTCATCAATTCATTACTCATGTTAAAGATCGCCTTGTCCACAAAATCATACCTATGTAGTCATTGTACATAGAGATGTAGCATCTTACAATGTAACTTCGGTTTGTTGCAATGTATAGTGTTTCGAGACCTTGTTCAAATTATGGCTGTTTTCAAAACTGAGGGTGCAGCTAAACGAACAAAATCACACACATGTAGTGGCTAAATTTTAGAATCTGAACATCTCAATCAATTCAAGTCAGATTGCCAGTATTTTTGCAGATTCAGAACCGGGTAAATTAGATTCAGGTTCTTGTATAAAAATTAGAATAGTTCTACTGCTATGTAAGTCTGAAAAAAAAAAAAAAACATAGGCTGATTTTACACATATAACCAAGATTGTGATCCAAGTACTGCATATTTCTTCACAAAAATTCATATTCTTCGAGCCCTGTGTATTACCTAGAGGACAGTACAAAAATTATATGTAATTCTCCAGTGTGCTATTGTGATCTGAAGTACTACACCTCATACTATCTTTTCTGCACTTGGTGGCTGCTTACTAATCACGTGCTACCTCCCCCCCTTCCAATGCTTCCATGCCTCGCATCTCGAGACTTACTTCAAATAAAATCATAGTAGATTATTTTACTATCATAAATGCTGAAATGAAAAGTCGGTGGCCAGGCAAGTGGTGCGCATGAGCAGTGAGTAACCACCTTTGAGCCACTGTAGCCATATGGACAACTAGTTGCTGACATAATCATCCTTGTCTGGCCACCAACTTTTCATCTCCACATTCAGTCAAGTCAAGATTACAGTCATCCTGGGACATGCTGCACAAATCAATCACTGGTATCATTAACCAAGTCAATGTCACTGACATCAAGCAGGTCATTCCTGAACCATTCTCAGAAAACCTCATATGAGGTTGAGGACCATTTTCCCACAGCATCATGAAAGCACAGGCATCCAGCTTACCCTTTACACCTGTTTTTGCTGCTCTGGTGGCCATTATCAACACAAAACTTCCTCAAGTGGGAGAGCTCATCTTAACCCAGCTCATAAGCCAGTTTCAATGTGCATTCAAGCATAATGACAAAGTAAGTCACAATTCTTTCCTGCCTGTTTTGAATCGTTGATGTCATGCTGGACAGACTGTTTGTCATTCTTTGACAACTTTCATTGCTCACCTCATCAATCAAGCTGTCCACAGTCATCAGTCACTTTTCCTCCACCATTTCTCAAATGTGCTGGTCAAGGCAATCAGCCCATTGTCTATGTAAGAGCTAAGAGATTCCAGCATATTGAAATGGCTAGGAGCATCTGTAAATGTTGAATCTTTTCCAACATCCTTGACTTCCTAAGAGCTTGTATGTAAGTTGATTCAGTGGAAGTACAAGATGGAGTAACTACACTAAACAAAATCTGCCACTTCATCTTTGAAGAAATCTGATTCTACATCTGATTCCACATCCATGTCACCGCTCTGCACTCACTCTGCCAAGACAAACTGATAGTTCCACATATCTGTCACTATGTCATCCCACATCCTGTGTATGAATAAGTCTTCCTCTACACCTGTTGCATGTCCCATAGCTTGGAGATGAACAGAAGCACCTTTGCCTTCTTCATCTTCATCAGCTGTGAGGTTGCCTGTGCCCTCCCCACTCTGATCATGGGTATAGATGAAATTGTGCAATGCACAAAGGGCTGCAGGAATTCATGCCTGTATGTTGATGTTGTATTCTGGTGCCAGGAGCAGTATTTGAAACTGGTGCTTCAAAACACTGAAAATACATCCTATCACATTCTGTGCAGATGTGTGCCACAAGTTAAAGAGTTCCTCTTTATTTGTCAGTCTGATGGGAAACAAGAAAATGGAAAAAGGAATGGAAAAAGGAAAACATACTGGGTGTTGGCATGGCCCCATTCTGCAAGAGGATACTGAACACCTCAGTAGGGGACAAGCAGCTCTTGATGTGAGAGGTAGCCAGCATCAGCAAGAAGGTATTTTCCAGTGGGGATGTGGAGATTGGCAGATGTTGCATCACCATATACATGAGCATCCATCACAGACCCTTCCCACCCTGTCAACATCAAGATGAACCTCAGACTGAAGTCACAGATAAAAAGCCCATTCTGTGAGAGGAATCCTTTGTGATTGCGATAGTTTGATTGTATGATTGTGGGGGGGGGGATACAGGAATGTGGCAGCCATCAATTGCACTGATCACATCCTGAAAGTATGGCCAAAACTTGGGATTGTGGCATATTTTTGGATGGATGGCTTCACCAGTTGGAAACTGTACATAGATGGAATAGAGTGGTGGGTCTGAAAATATAAAGAACAATTTCTTGAAGTATCTGTACACAAATATGTGAATTGTCACATGGATTTTGTATTGCACTCACCGAGATATTGTATCATTTGATCACTGAAATCATTTGCTAATGTGCCTGATTGACAGGCCAGTCACACATGTATACAGGAAAATCATGAGCTGTTCTTCCAGGGTAACAAACTTTGAGTTTTTATGACCAATACCTCAAAGCTCCTCAACAAGCTCAACAAAAACCTCCTTGCTCATACCAAGCTCACAGCAGATATGATCAAGATGACCAGTCAAGACTTCCTGGACCCACATTTCTCTGGAGAGTCTGGAGGTGTGGTATGGTATCAGGTCTCTGTGTATGCTGGAACCAATCAGCTCGGCCAACAAGGCCAGAAGTGTCTGGAGAAGGACCAAGATTTGCTGCAGCAGGGCATGGTGCACATTCAGATGATCAGGCAGCATGTTCAATCCCTCACATGCTGCTGAGCCTTGTGCTGAACTTGTACACCACTTGTTAAACAAGGGAACTGTGTGAACCTCAACTGAACTACAGTTTCTGTACAAGCTCTAAGGAACTGGACCAGCCCACACATGGAGACTATGTGACTCTTGATAATGACAGCACCAAAGTGAATTTCAGATACAAATGATGGTGTCAAGAAGTTTGCTGTCCACCAACCCTTTAATGGAAGGCTAAGTGGTCCCCATCTGAGAGAGGTGACATGCATACTCAGGTAATGTCAAGCTTGAATAACAGCAAAATTTTATATGAGACAGGAAGCCAGCCTAGGGATATCAACAGTGCCACATGAGGGACAAGGCTTTAGGCCATCAATGAGTTTGCTTTGGGCCACAGATTCAGTGACTTACAATCACCCAGCTTCTGTGCAATTCCTGTGAAACCAGATGCCTCTTCAGGCAGGACGTCCTCCACAATCAATCTGTTAGCACCAGCATCACATGTCCCCTGTCTGTATGTCTTGGCAGTTTGCAAGGATAGGGATATAATAACCTGCACCTGTTACTGTGCATGAATAGCCTCATCAAGTCTTAAACTTGACTCACTTGTTAGAAGTACCAGAACTGAAAGGTAGCTAACTCCATTTTGAGGAATGACCTAATGTGTTCCCTTCAGAGATTTGGCATGAATAGACTCAGAGGGTTAGTGTCTTGAATGCTCTGATCAGATTAGAGAATGGAACACCAATGTCAAAGACATCTGCTGTTCCAGCTTGCACCACCAAAAGGACAGGGACAGTGTCATCCTTCCTCAAGTGACCTGTGGTGACAACAGTGACCAAGGTGTGGCTTCCCTAATAGACAATGTTGAGCATTTTAGATATTGCAGACTTTGGTGGGTAGATCCCAATGTGCAGACAGGTGTGGTTCCAAATCCAACACTCTGAGCATGATCATTGAATGCCACAAACTTTTGAGATGGGTTCAGAAGTTCCATTTGGGGACTATAGAATACCCATTCAGAATCAGCCCAATTGGCAAGCCCAATGATGCAACAAACACCAGCAAATGTCCTTGGGGTCTCCATCAAAACCCACAGCACACTTCTGACAAACTCCCACCATGTGAGCACAAAGATAGCACAGGAGTCATAACCCACATGGATATGGAGAAGATAGTCTAAAGGATATTGATATTAGCATGAGTGCTATTAGAGATTGTAACAGCAAGCAAACATAAGATTCAAGGAGTTCAAGCCTGTTGCTTAGGGGCTAGGTGTAGCTTCCATAAATTGATCTTTGCAACAACAGGATTCATGGTCATGGCCTCTCCAGGCTCCAGGTCCAGGTCCAAGTCTGAGATCTCTTCATCCTCTGCTGTCCATGGTACCCCCATGTCAGCTAGAAGTTCTTTCATGACATGTTGTTCAATGATGTATCCAACCACTAATGTGACTGGATACAAGTTGTTTCTCTGCCAGTTCTCACAACTTCCAAGACACCTACACAACAACCTGACTGCACAACATCAACTTGCCATCATAATCTAGAATGTTGTTGTGAATTACAAGCAGAAGAATTGGAAGTGCTTCAGGTGAATGTCCATGCTTTGTTGACACACCAGCTGCCCACCTTGTGTGTAGTCAATTCACCAGGCCATTTGCACCCCAAAATCCAAGGGAACTGTCAGGCTTGAGGTACACATCAAACTTGACACTTGTCAAGTGCAGGCCTACTCCAATGCTGGGTGAGGTCTGGGGAGAGGTTTGGAAGCCAGTCTGACAGAAAGAACCAAACTCTGACTGGCAGAGTGTTGGCAGGAATGAAGTCCACTGAGGTAAAGGTGAAGTGGAGTGAGGGCATTGGGTTTAGCTTGTGCACTACCCCCTTGCACAATCTCAGCCCTTGTATTTCAGAGGGAGAGCACAGATGGACAGATGGAGGTAACTCTGACAGACAGAAGATGGAGACAGAGGGAGTAGGAACTAAGTCAATATTCATACTGAAGAACAGTGGAGTACAGTACATGCTTTTATACCACTATGGAGGTACAGTAATTGGAATCAGAACTGACATATGGAGACTCATAAAATTTCAAGTAAAACTTCCTCAATGATGAATGAAGGGTAGATGGAGGACATATGAATGGGTAACACAGAACATCCCAAAAAGGAAACAGTCCAGGTGTTGGACCATGCAGTGCACATGCTGCAGAGCACCTGACCACACACTGTCAGGGAGAAGTCCAAAGGGTAGTCACACGACTCCTCAGGGGATGACCCATGTGGTCCAACAGGAGAGCAGTATAAGTCCAACAGCAGTCAGAGTGGAGATGACTTGTAAATGTCAGGGGACAGGTGGAGTTGGTGTGGAGTGAGTGAATGACCAGTGGAAAAGGGGTGCAGAGTGAGTGAGGACCTAGGATGAACACACAGTCATGACAGTGCCCCCCCCTTAGGGCCTGAACCCCTGAAGGCCACATGTATGAGATGAGATCAACACAAGTTGATCATTTGAAACCAACTTGATGCCTTGAGGACAATGGCTTTAGCTGCAGCAGAGCTCTGTCAGAGTCTGAAGAACCACTTAAAAACACGTGTTAGGGTACTGATCCTTCATCCTTTCTCCCCATCATCATGTCCTCCCAGTGCCAGAGCAAAACCCCCCAGCCAACCCCCAGTCATGTCTGCAACTACTCCCAAGTTGTGGATGATGAACTGGTTGTCCTTACCAACAACTCCACTGACACTGAGTGGGAGAAGTCTGTGGAGAAGGCATGCCAATGAGAGGAGACCAAGTGGAGAGAGAGAGATCATGAGACAGAGTGCAAGGCCAAGCATGAGGAGGCCAAGAGGCAGAGGGTGGAAGAGGAGCAACTGGAGGCAGAGCAAAGGAAGAGAGCAGAAGAGGAGGCCCAGAGGAGGAGGGTGATGGAGGAGGAAGCTTGGAAGAAGAAGGTGGCAGAGGAAGAGGCAGAGAGACAGAGGCAGAGGGCCCAGGCCAGGTGGGATGAGGCCATGCAGAGGTGAGTAGCAGAGTACTGTGAGTTAGGTGGAGCTGACCTATATTTTCTTTTTTTTTTTTGATGATTTTATTTGTTTCAGGTCAAGCAGCATGGTGTACAATGTTAACACTGCCCAGAGGGTAACCAAGAGGTTTCTTTGTCGGTGTTCTCATAACCAGCCCAACAGACTAGATACAAGAGTTGACAGTGGCAGTGACAGTGGTCCACCTTAGAGTTGAGTATCTCTGACACTTCATACTCAAGGTCACCATTGACATCTACTGGAGGAGGCGGAGGTTGTTGTCAATTTGGGAAAGGGTTAGCTGCTGTGGCTTCCAGTTGTGAGACATGGAAGATCAGATGTACAGAGCACATAGAGTCAGGGAGCTTAAGGGTGACAGAGTGTGTACCTGGCCTGGCCAAGATGGTGAATGGGCCCAAGTACCTTTCAGAGAGTTTTTCTGAAGGACGAGTGGAGTGGAAATACTTGGCTTTGATGTAGGCCTGTTCTCTGACCTTGAACTCAGGTGGAGGTATGTGTTTGGCATCTGCTGGACCCTGGTAGTGCTGCTGAGCAGCAGACATTTCAGAGTGGAGGAAGTCATGAAGGGTGGAGAGCTCAATGACATAGTTGTGAGCCCCTGGAGAGGTGAAGTTCTGGTCAGGGACCACAGACAGGTTTGGATGATATCCCTTGTTAGTGAAGAAGGGAGAAACTCCAGTTGTTGCACTTGGTGCATTGTTGAAAGTGAACTCTGCTAGAGGTAACAGCTTGGCCCAATTGGCTTGTTGGTAGTTACAGTAGATATGAAGGTACTGCTTGAGGGTCTGGTTCATTTGCTTGGTCTGGCCATCACCTTCTGGGTGGTAACCCAAAGTGAAGTGAAGATGCATATCCAGGGCCTTTCCTAGAGAGTGGAAGAAGTGTGAGACAAACTCAGGACCTCTGTCAGAGGTGACATTAGCTGGTACTCCATGCTTGGACAAGACATGGGTAAGGAAGAGCTTAGCGAGTTTGGTGGAGGTGATGGAGTCATGGGTGGGGATGAACACTGCTTGTTTTGAGAGGTGGTCCACCACCACAAGGATGGTGGAGTAGCCATCAGAGTTGGGGAGGTGTTCAATGAAGTCCATGGAGATGCAGTTCCAAGGTCTCTCTGGGATGGGGAGTTGCTTCAGTAGACAATAGGGGCAGTGCTGCAGAGTTTTGTTCCATCCACAGGCAGTGCAGGACCTGACATATTCTTTCACATTGGAGCAGAGGTTAGGCCACACATAGTCCCTGTGGACAAGTTCTAGGGTGCAGTTTTGCCTGAAATGGCCTGCTAGAGGATGGTCATGCTTGAATCAAAGCACTCAAAGGTGGAGGTCATCAATGTCAGGGACAAAGATGTGACTGTCAAGGCAGAGTAGACCATCAGAGTCCAGGGACCACTGAGGCTTAGTCAGAGTTGGAAGATGGCTGGCAGAGACAGGGTCAGATGGTAGGGCAGAGATGATGTTGGAGTGCAAGCACTCAATATCAAAGACCATGGCAGCACAGAGCACAGGTGCCATGAGGGTAGTGGTATGGAGGGATGACATGAGTTGCTCCTGTGTAAACATAGGGTGGAGATTGTGAGGATTTACCTGTGCATAGTCCCTATCCCCCCCTTTTGGGTAGACATCCCAACAGCATGTAAGTGTGTTGGGTTTGGCTCCCAGGTGACCAGGTCAGAAGTGGATGGAAAGGTTAAACTGTGAAAGGTACTCTGACCAGTGGGCCTGTTGGTGAGTGAGGACCTTAGAGGTGGAGAAATACTCAAGGTTTTTGTGGTCCATCACCACATTGACAGGTAAGGCAGAACCTTCTAGGTAATGCCACCAATGGCAGAAGGCCTTGAAGATAGCCAACAGCTCCTTGTCATGGGTATCATAGTTGAGTTCTGGTGCAGTCATGGTGTGGGAGTAGAAAGTGACTGGGCAGAGTTCACCATTGGAGCAGGTGATCAACAAAATGCCAGCAATGGAATAGTCAGAGGTGTCAGTTTCAACTGTAAGCAGAGTGTCAGGAACCCAGTGTGTGAGGACAGGAGTGGAGCTGAAGGCATCCCTCAGGTGGAGGAAGGTGGAGTGACACTCCTTGGAAAAGTTCCAAGGAGCACCCTTTCATGTGAGGCAAGTGAGTGGGACAATGATGTCAGAGTAGTTATTAATGAATCATCTGTAGAAGTTTGCAAAGCCAAGGAAAGACTGGATGTCTTGCACCTTCCATGGTTCAGGCCAGTCGCAGACTGCCTGAACCTCCTCAGTGGACATGGTGAGACTGGAGGGAGAAAGAACATAACCAAGGTACTTGATGGAGTCGAAGTGCAACTCACACTTCTCTGGCTTGGCATAAAGACCATGCTTTCAAAGGCAGTGGAGTACCTCTTTTACATGTTCACAATGCAACTCCACATCCTGCAAATAAACTAGGATGTCATTGAGGTACACCACAACACAGACATTGAGCATGTCTGCAAAGATGTTATTAATGAATTGCTGGAAAGCCACAGGCATGTTAGTCAGACTGAATGGCATTACCTGCCACTCGTAAGAACCATAATGAGTGCAGAAAGCCATTTTCCATTCATCTCCATCTGCAATGTGGACTAGATGATAGGCATGGCAGAGGTCAATCTTGGTGTAGACTTTAGTGGAGCCCATGCACCTGGTTAGGCCATATGAGATGGTCAGCAGAGGTTGAGCCCATGTATGGCTTGTGCATGTGTGTTACATGAGAGCCATGAACCTATTGTCACCTTGTAGTATGGGAGAGCCCAACTGATGAGTGTCACCATGTAGTACAGCTGAGCCTGAGAGGAAATGTTGTCATGAGGAATGGTGCAGCTGTGATTTGAATTGTCATTGTCAGTTACAAGCAGGCTGGGGAGTAAGTGTCATCATGGACTATGGGAGAGCCCAATAAATGCATGTCACCATAGCATACAGCTGAGCCCAAGAGTAGGAGTCACTGTGGAGAATGGCTGGGCAGAGGTTAGAATTGTCATCATGGGGTACAAGCCAGCTGTGGGATTAGGGTGTAGCCACTGCAATATGAGTAGTCCCAGGTAAGCCCAGAGTTGGGTGTCCCCAGAAGGTATGGATGGGCTCAGCCCCTGAGTTCACCCCTGGCAACACTGTCATGCAAGCTGGCCCAACACCAATGCCATGCTAGCCATCCCAGCAACACTGCCATGTGGGCCAGCCCACCACCAATGCCATGCAGGCCATCCTGGGACAAATGCCATGTGAGCCAGGCCAACACCAATGCAATATGAACAGGCCCATTACCAATGCCATGCAGGCTGGCACAACACCAATGCTATGCTGGCTGTCCTGGCATCGATTCCACAAGGGCAGACCCAATACAAATGCCATTCAAGGTGTCCCAGGACCAATGCAATGTGAGCCAGGCCAACACCAACCCAGGACCAATGCCATGGAGGCCATCCCGGCCAGCACTGATTTAATGTGAACGAGCACAATGCTAATGCCATGGAAGCCATGCTGGCACCAATGCCACATGTTCTGGCACATTGCCACTGCCATGGGGCCATCATGGAGGATGTCCCAGCACCAATGTATTGTGAGCTGGCACTGGCACCAGGTCCATGTGTTCCAGCACATCCCCAATGCCATGGGGCCATCATGCAGGCCATCCTGGCACCATTGGAATGTGTTCCAGCACAACACCAATGCCATCCTTGGGTCCACACCCTGTCATGCTCATCCCAGCTCTACATATCACTCCCATAGCAACCTTCCATGGCATGCGAGGTTCTCCCCTCCATCTTTGAGGGACTCAGCTTCTGCTTCATTTGACACTGGCCCCAAGAAGCTTTCATAGTTGATGCTTGTCTTTGCAACTCAGTAGTACATTCGTAAGTAACTTGTCACAAAAATGAAAGGAAACGAAGAGCGCTTGGGCTCTGGGTGTGAATTCATGTCGCTTCGAACTTGTCAAGTGCTACTTTGTTTATCTGGCAGTTGATCTGCATCGAGGCAACTTAAAACTTCGCCTGTACCTCGTGGTCCTTCGCATATTCTAGAATAAGGCAGTCATAAGTAAAGTGGCTCAAAGTAAAAACTGGATGTCGGGCTGCTATGCTCGCTCTGTGTAACTCGGATGCTTTGTGTGTGCCACACACCCTCCCATCTTCTCAAACTTGCATCATCTTCTTCTCCTTCAGACTTCTGCAGTCGCGCACTGAACCAAGCTGCAGTAGTTGCCATGAAGCTGACTGAAGTAACGATTTCGAAGTGGTTCCACACTGTGTCACATATCTTAGCACTGTAGACTCATAAGTAAAATGTCATGAAAACAAAAGACAAAAACAAGTGCTCAGGCTCAGTGCATGAACTCATGCCACTTGGTACACTCCATGTGTGTCGTCGTCGATCTGTCAGGCATTCCCTCGTCGCAAACTCCGATGCATGGCTACACAGCTTGTCTACCTGAAACCTGTCATTGGGTATCATCAGCAAATTCACACATTACTATTTTGCATACTATTCATGCTATTTATGTCCTATTCACACCAAAATAGTCAGAAAAGAAATAATAGTCTTTTTAGTAGGTTCATTTACTATCCACACTATTTTTCGTACTATTTTTCAATTATTTATGCTATTTTCCCACTATTACTACTATCTGACTTGTCATCAACTGCAACTTTCTTAGCACTTATTCTCACTATTTTTACTTTTGTTCAGCTCACATAAAACACGATGCATTCATGATAAAGCAGTGCGGTGCTGAAACATTAAATGAGCATAGGCCTACAACAATCCAAAATGAGGGTGACTCAAGTAAGCACAAAAAAAGACACAATTAATTCAATGATTGTAGTTGGCAATGAGCAACTCAGGGCAGAAGGGGAGAGAGAATGAGAGCACATCCAAATCATGGGATCCTATCAATGACTTGTTAGTAGTGTGCATAAATAACAATGTGACTTACAAAGAGTGGCAATTAAATCATTGATGTCATCCTCCCCACATTGAAAGCTCCCTCCCTCTAACATGCAATCTATACTGTATGGAATGAGCATAGTTGCTCCCATAATGATGTTTTGGAGCACAGCATTGTCATGCTTAGTGGTGGCTATAGCATATTGCCTGGTGCAGGGGCCACAATTCTGCTCAGAGAATGCTGAAACAGCTGACAACTCCCTCCTGGTCACCTTGTTCACCTTGAGTGGGATCTTGATAGCTGCCTTTCTGAAGGATGTGTGCTTAGTGTCAATTTGCAGTTCACCAGTTTTGAGCAGGGGAAGAGTACAGTGCAACTAAAGAGAATAAGTTAGCTGACTGTCTAGGGCTAAAATGCAATACACTACCATGGCACAGGTAAGGGCTAGTGTGCCTTTGATGCCTGTATTTTTCAGTTCCCTGATCTTCAGTTTTGGGACATCAGGAGAATCACCACAGGGCCACAGATGTGTGTGGCCAAGGAGGTATAATACAAAGTATGACTGGAAAATGTTCTCTGGTTTGTGAGAATCTTGGTCTGAATATAAAAATGCGAAGCCTTCCAACAGCTTAGAACAGAGTTCCTGGGCCTGAGTAAGAGACAGCATGCCAATTTCTGGATCTGAGACAAGGAAGTGAGTGATAAGAGTGATTGCAGTGGATCCAAAGTTGCTGTGCCACTGGCAGAGTCATTGACATGCCTGTCCAAGGAAGCATGAGTCAAGTAGCAAGGTAAATAATACTAACAATACAATATTAAAGACTGCCATCCCAGGACAAATGTCATTCAGGTCCTCAAAGTCTGGAGCAATGGTCAGGATAATGATTCGCAGTGACTGTATGAGTTCTTCATCTGAGATTGTCCAAGGGTCAGCTAAGCTTCCAGTGCACACAAGGAAAGCAGGCATAATTTCTTTCACCCACATCTTGCCCATCATCAGCACAGAAGGCAGATCTTGGCTTCAGTAACAAGAGTGTTTGCTGGCCTTGCCTGTGGTCCTCATTGAAGGTGCTTGACTTGCTGTAGTGCTCCTCTGTCCTGATTCTTGGTCCACATCCCTGTCAACCTTTGATTTCTTTGGTTCATCTACTCCATTATCGGTCTGTGACTCCAAAAGAGTTAATGTACAGTTCAAATAGATAAAAAAATGTACCATCACAACACACAATTCCTTAGCAGGCAACATACAAGACTTCAAATTGTGATCCTCAATGTCAAAGTATTCATCATCGAAGTCCTCAACCTTGGATGAGGTAACATAGTCAGCATTGTCATGATCTGAATACTTGTGCTTTGAGCTGGTCTGCACCTCTGCAAAAATGAGCTGATTGAATTCATTGTTGCTCTCTATATCGTTAGCCATGCTCATGACTACCTAAAAGCAATATAATGCAATGGTCAATTTGCATCAAGAGACATACCTTGAATTTTTCATGACCTACAACCTTGACAGAGAAAGCTGGTTGGTCTTCTAATTCCTCTTCATCCATGCAGTGGGTTGGCACAGGCATCTTTCCCTGATTGAAGATGTTGAAGATGACTGATCCTACTTGATAATGTAGCATGTACCTGGTATGCTAGGCTTGTATTGGAGTTGACAGTGGTAGTAGCTCCACTTGTCAAAGAAGGGACAGAAGTTGGTAGTCTGTTGGATCGTGGCATCAGCCTAGTTGGGATGTCCTTGACCCAATGATGGACCTGGCAGTCCAAGTTGGTGTTTGGGTTGTCTCAGGTACTGAGAGCATTCCAGGTGAGGTTCAGCCAAAACAAAGTTGACTCAGTAAGTAGCAGCATCTGGCATCAAACAGTTGAAAATAAGAATGTATGTCTGCTGGGAGGTTTCATTGGATCCACATGTTGATGCCACATTTGCCAGCAGATCAATGTCAGCAACTGCACCTTGCCTTCTCAGCATGTGGCTAGCTGTTCTCCCACTCTGTGGCTTGTTGCTTGTATAGTCCACAATAGCAGGAGCAGTTACCTGGTGAGTGTTGACTTCCATATCAGCAACTTCAGCTGATATCTTATCAGTGTCTGTGATTGGATGACATAACCAAAACATCCTCACCTTCACCACAAGGTTGGATGACTATATTTCCTGGTTTTCCTTGAAGGCTGACAGGCCCCTGTCTTGGTCTGACTGACTTCGCTTTAGCAGCAACTTGGATTGCCTGTCTGGTCTCCATCACAACAGGAGGGCCAATTTCCTGGCCAGGATCTCTACTGGCAGGCACCTGTCTCAGTCTGACTGGCTTCACTTTGGCAGTGCCTTGGATAACCTGCCTGACCTCCATGGCAGTCTCCATCTCCCTGACTCAGGCATGAGCCTGCTGGATAGCAGCCACTGAGCATCAATAGCTTCCTGCATGCACAAGTCATCAGCCTTCTTCTGGGCTGGGGTATGCCATTGAGTCTGTGCTTTGAGAATGATCCTCCCTGGATGCAGGTTGGCCTTTTCTTGTTGTGGTCAAATATTAGAAGAAGCTGACATAATACTTGTTGTGCATGGGTGGAGATGAAGACAGCACAAGGTGAGTTTGAACCTGTCATTTTTTATGCAAGAAAATTTCCTTGCAAACAAATGCACTACAGAGTCTCTTTCCTTGCAAACAAATACACAAAGTTCCACCTAACTTAGGTTTCTGACCATTTACTAATCATGCAAGGGTCCCTAAATGTGTTCATTTACCATCAAAATGTTGCCATGCAGAGGCAGCACCTGAAGCTCTCAACAGACAAAATTCAGCACTCTCTGTCTTCCTTGTGACATGCCAGGCTGCAACTGTTGGTTCAAAAACCAGGCAGGGCTCACTCAGCACAAGCACAGCCATCTGCACCTTGACCGCTTTCAAGGGTCCCAGGGTTACTCCAAACAGCACCACAGTTTAAATGCCATACCCCCAGTAGCCAAACACATTCTAGATTATGATGATGGTCCACATGACTTCAACTGCAGCACAACATTGGATCAGGAACCAGATGGAATGATTGCAAAATTCATTGGTCCTGGCAACAAGGTTTACCACAATTATCATGCAGGTCTTAATGGTAAGCCTATGCACACATTATCCTACCTCTACTCATACAATTTATTACAGCATGAAGGTGTGACTCCCAGGGCCATTTTCTACCAGATGATGCTCCACTGCCACTTCATATACAGGGATCACTGGATGATTGGGCTCCATACCACAATTGATTAGAATTTGAACTTGCCAAGTTTCTTTTCAAACATGCAGAAATGCCAGTGAACCAAATGGACACATTGCTTGAAATCTGGGCTACCTTGTTGCTTGAGTTAGGCAGCAATCCACTATTCACCAACCACACAGACCTCTATCATGTGATAGACAGCATGTCTGTTGGTGCAGTCAAGTGGGAAAACTTCAAAATCACTTACAAGTGCAAGCAGGATGTACAGGATGAACCAGATGAACAGGATGAAGTGATTGAACTGGGCAGTCAGGATGGTCAGGATGGCCAAGATGGCCAAGATGAACCCAAGGCCCCTTGGATGTTTGACATCTATGATGTATGGTATTGAGACCCCTGTTGAGTTATCCACAACCTCCTTGGTTGCACTGACTTTAAGGATCAAATGGACTTCATGCCATACCAGGAGTTTGATGCCACAAGTGATCAGAGGTGTTGGGAGGATTTTATGTCAGGTGACTGGGCCTGGGACAAAGCAGTATGTACTGGGTTTGTCTCGATGTAGGTCCTACCAATCTCATACTTCTAGGACAAGATTATCAGCAGTAACCCATTGGCAGCCAGAGCAACATTGGTTCCCATCATCCTTGGCAGTGACAAGACCACTGTTTCTGTTGCAACTAGGCAAATGGATTACTACCCAATCTATTTTTCCATTGGAAATGTGCACAATGCGATGCAGTAGTGCTCATTGGATTCCTTGCAATGCTGAAGAGTAAGCACTTCAAATTCTATTACTTTGTACCACTGCTGATAGCCCAATAGTGACTAGGGAGCATGCTAATACACAAGTGTTCTGTAAATTCAAGAAGCAGCTCTTTCATTCGTCACTGGCACATGTTCTTTGGTCACTTGGTCCTGCAATGACAGTTCCAGAAACAGTACTATTCAGTGATCAGTACTACCGACATGTCATCTATGCACTCACAGCTTACATAGCTGACTATGAAGAACAGGTCCTCTTGTTGTGCATCATGTGTAATTGGTGTCTGAAATGTCTCACACACTGGGAGAACCTTGACAAAGATGCACTCTGGCATCACTGCAAGCACACTGAATTGATCATCAGGGAGTTGGACCCTCAGACACTTTGGGAAGGGTATGGAATTGACAGAGATATAGTGGTATGTACAATATACTTGCTTCTTTTTTCATGACTGATCGAGAACAGCCATTTACAAGTGGGTTTCCATGCGCAGACATCCAGAGAATGCTTTCTCTGGACATTCTTCATCAACTCATCAAGGGTGGATTCAAAGATCACCTGGTTGACTGGGTGGAAAGGTATCTCATCCATATTCATGGAAAGGGTGCTGCAGAAAAAATACTGGACAATATTGATTGAAGGTGTGTTGGCTGACCTCTGTTATCATGCACTGACTGACCTCATTGATTTCCAGGATCGCAGCTGTCACCCTGTTTACTGGGCTGCAATGTTTCCCTCAAGGCTGACACTTTAAACAATGGACTGGTGATGACTCCAAAGGCCTCATGAAGGTTCTCTAATCCTTTTTAAATGGTGTATGATGATTGACTGGTCCTCTACAGGTATATATTGCAGCCATTGAAGGCTATGTCCCAGAGGATGTCATCCACACATTTCATGCCTTTCTTGAGTTTTGCTACCTTGTCCACCAAAATGTTATCACCAAACCAATGCTTACCATGATTGAGGATGCACTTGCACACTTCCACTTGTATTGTGAAGTCTTCCAGAATGCCCAAGTAATCACTACATTTTCATAACCCTGGCAACATGCTATGAAGCATTATCCCTATCTTATACACCAGTTCAGCACACTGAATGGGCTCTGTTCATCAATTACTGAGTCCAAGCATATCAAAGCAGTCAAGTGACCTTATCAGCATACTAACTGCTTTCAGGCTCTCAGACAGATGCTTGCAATCAACCAGAGGCTTGACAAATTTGCTGCAGCATGTGCAGACTTTGAAAAATGTGGCATGTTGAGAGGGACTTGCCTGTCACATGTGCTTGGAACTCTAGGTTGAGCATTTTTCTTAGACATTGTTCTTGATGCTGACTGTATTCTAGAACAATATTGTAATGAGACTCATAATGAGACTGACCATGACATATCAAACAATCAGGACTGTGAAGACAGTGCTGATGAACCCACAGCAAGTTTTGAAGAAGATGCAGGTGATATGGATGACTCTCCTATGTCAGTTGAGGTCCATGTATTGTTGGCCTGGACCTACCATATGCCTTTGCTCATAGCTTCATGCATATGAATTCTAATCTGTTGATCATAGAATGTATGTGTGTGAGGAATATGAGGGACCTAGCAACTGAACTCAACATACCCCAGCTCCTCAATATCTTGTGCCATTTTCTTCAATTGCAGCTTCAGCATGACAATCATGATCCAGAAGATGTCCCCTTGGGTGAATATCCCTTTTATGATGGATCTGTCTGTGTTTACAACTCTGCATCCTCAATGTTCTATGCACCCAGTGATGTGAGTGGCCTCCATGGCATGTGTCACAAACATATATGTTGTTCCTCTCTGTGGAGGAATGAAGGCCCCTGTTGTGAGTCAAAGTGTGGTTCAGTGGTGAAAACCAACCAAAACCAACACAAAAGACAAAAAGAGCGAGTGGTGGTGTGCCTATGCAGTACCTCGATGGTAGAACCTTTGATTTGGGTGGTTTTTTGCAAGCTACAACACTCAAGGACGAGTGCTGAGGGGTGGGGGTGCTCCTGACAAAGAGGGAGCAAGAATGCAATAGAAAGCAATAGGGTAGACTGCTGTCAGCCTACAGAAGGATGGATGGTGGCTTAATTCAATGTCCTAAGCTGCACCAAGCTCAGGGAGGGCTTGGAGTGAAGTATATTGATGATAGACAAGGATAAGCAAAGTAGATGATAGTTAGACCCTTAATAAAGTCTCAACTATTGAAGCTGCTGAATGAATTACTGAGTGATGATAAAATGCAAGCAAGAGGGGCTCTCTGATGTCTTCTTTTTTTTTTCTATCTAAGTACAGTGATTTATATACAGTACAGGGGTGTTGCCCTTGGAAAACAAGGTGCAAACACTTGGTAAGTGATTGGTAACTGATGAGTAAGGAATGTAAGTGATGGGTAATCATCTTGGAAAGCATTGGTAAGCATTGGTAAGGATTAGCAAGCCAAAAAGTGAAGAATCAGTAAGCAAAGTCAAAAGATTGGTAAGTATTGGCAATAGGTGAGTCAAAGACAGTCAGAATGTCAAAGTATGAGTCAAGTGATGTCAGGAACTGGGAAAGTGCACTGGAATCACATTAGGGGGAGGCTGTGCATGTCACATCTCAAAGAGATTGCTTCTAGGCCAAGGTGGGATGACAGAGAGGCAGCGCTGATCTGATGCTGATATAGTACATCCAAAAGTGGACAGGGTGAGTCAGATGTCAACAGGGGTCCAGCTTTGGGGGTCTGTGGGGTGACAGGAGCATAGGGGATTGCAGCCTTCCCCCCCAAACCATCCTCTCAGTGAAGCAAATAAAAACTTCATGAATGAGGCTCTGTTGGAAGAGAGGATGAAGGGGGAGTGTCTTCTGCTGTATCTTGCAACAAGGAGGCAAGATGTACATCATACTCATCATGGATGCGATCAGGGAGAGTGGAGAACAGTAGATTATACTGTAGCTGTCACAATCTTGGAAGAATGATGGACAAGACCAGTATGAAGACATTGCAGGGAGCAGGGAGGAAGGATCCATATGCTTCTTGGACTGGAGAGACTGAAATGACCACATAAGACCTTTCCAAGCAAATGACAGACCTGAGGCGACCAAAGAACATCCTCCTAGAGGTCATACTGACAAAAAGAACATGCTGTCCAAGCTGGATGGGCTGAGAGGGCACAGACAAGGGTGGGATGTACCAGGATGCTTCAGGATGGAAGCTGGTAGGAACTCCTGGTAGATATATGTAGCCATGGTCCCTAGCAAAGGGGACAAGCAAAATGATTGATGTAGAGGTGGCCATATCAGAAGAATTTAGCAAAATGAGCATCTTTTGGAGGGAGTGCTGTAGAAATGTGTGGAGTGTGCAAATCCTTTCCAATTTTGGAAGGTAAGATTGCGTGGCTGAGCACTACAAGCAAGTGTGGGAATGGTCTCAGTATCTGCAGAAATGGCAGAGATATGTCAAAAACCAGAATGCTGTACACAGGCACTTAAGAATTTTAGCCAGCACTTAACTCACTCCCTTTCTTGTTCGCTGGCACTGATGACTTGTTCTTGTGTGAGGGATGACTGCTGACATTCCTGGCTGTCCTTCTTCACATGAGGGCTATGGTCTTCATCTCCATTCATCAGCTGTATCCATGTCCACCTCACCAAACACCTTTGGTGTGTGACAGCAGGTAGTAATCCATTTGCCCAGTTGCAACAGAAACAGTGGTCTTGTCACTGCCAAGGATGATGGGAACCAATGTTGCTCTGGCTGCCAATGGGTTACTGCTGATAATCTTGTCCTAGAAGTATGAGATTGGTAGGACCTACATCGAGACAAACCCAGTACATACTGCTTTGTCCCAGGCCCAGTCACCTGACATAAAATCCTCCCAACACCTCTGATCACTTGTGGCATCAAACTCCTGGTATGGCATGAAGTCCATTTGATCCTTAAAGTCAGTGCAACCAAGGAGGTTGTGGATAACTCAACAGGGGTCTCAATACCATACATCATAGATGTCAAACATCCAAGGGGCCTTGGGTTCATCTTGGCCATCTTGGCCATCCTGACCATCCTGACTGCCCAGTTCAATCACTTCATCCTGTTCATCTGGTTCATCCTGTACATCCTGCTTGCACTTGTAAGTGATTTTGAAGTTTTCCCACTTGACTGCACCAACAGACATGCTGTCTATCACATGATAGAGGTCTGTGTGGTTGGTGAATAGTGGATTGCTGCCTAACTCAAGCAACAAGGTAGCCCAGATTTCAAGCAATGTGTCCATTTGGTTCACTGGCATTTCTGCATGTTTGAAAAGAAACTTGGCAAGTTCAAATTCTAATCAATTGTGGTATGGAGCCCAATCATCCAGTGATCCCTGTATATGAAGTGGCAGTGGAGCATCATCTGGTAGAAAATGGCCCTGGGAGTCACACCTTCATGCTGTAATAAATTGTATGAGTAGAGGTAGGATAATGTGTGCATAGGCTTACCATTAAGACCTGCATGATAATTGTGGTAAACCTTGTTGCCAGGACCAATGAATTTTGCAATCATTCCATCTGGTTCCTGATCCAATGTTGTGCTGCAGTTGAAGTCATGTGGACCATCATCATAATCTAGAATGTGTTTGGCTACTGGGGGTATGGCATTTAAACTGTGGTGCTGTTTGGAGTAACCCTGGGACCCTTGAAAGCGGTCAAGGTGCAGATGGCTGTGCTTGTGCTGAGTGAGCCCTGCCTGGTTTTTGAACCAACAGTTGCAGCCTGGCATGTCACAAGGAAGACAGAGAGTGCTGAATTTTGTCTGTTGAGAGCTTCAGGTGCTGCCTCTGCATGGCAACATTTTGATGGTAAATGAACACATTTAGGGACCCTTGCATGATTAGTAAATGGTCAGAAACCTAAGTTAGGTGGAACTTTGTGTATTTGTTTGCAAGGAAAGAGACTCTGTAGTGCATTTGTTTGCAAGGAAATTTTCTTGCATAAAAAATGACAGGTTCAAACTCACCTTGTGCTGTCTTCATCTCCACCCATGCACAACAAGTATTATGTCAGCTTCTTCTAATATTTGACCACAACAAGAAAAGGCCAACCTGCATCCAGGGAGGATCATTCTCAAAGCACAGACTCAATGGCATACCCCAGCCCAGAAGAAGGCTGATGACTTGTGCATGCAGGAAGCTATTGATGCTCAGTGGCTGCTATCCAGCAGGCTCATGCCTGAGTCAGGGAGATGGAGACTGCCATGGAGGTCAGGCAGGTTATCCAAGGCACTGCCAAAGTGAAGCCAGTCAGACTGAGACAGGTGCCTGCCAGTAGAGATCCTGGCCAGGAAATTGGCCCTCCTGTTGTGATGGAGACCAGACAGGCAATCCAAGTTGCTGCTAAAGCGAAGTCAGTCAGACCAAGACAGGGGCCTGTCAGCCTTCAAGGAAAACCAGGAAATATAGTCATCCAACCTTGTGGTGAAGGTGAGGATGTTTTGGTTATGTCATCCAATCACAGACACTGATAAGATATCAGCTGAAGTTGCTGATATGGAAGTCAACACTCACCAGGTAACTGCTCCTGCTATTGTGGACTATACAAGCAACAAGCCACAGAGTGGGAGAACAGCTAGCCACATGCTGAGAAGGCAAGGTGCAGTTGCTGACATTGATCTGCTGGCAAATGTGGCATCAACATGTGGATCCAATGAAACCTCCCAGCAGACATACATTCTTATTTTCAACTGTTTGATGCCAGATGCTGCTACTTACTGAGTCAACTTTGTTTTGGCTGAACCTCACCTGGAATGCTCTCAGTACCTGAGACAACCCAAACACCAACTTGGACTGCCAGGTCCATCATTGGGTCAAGGACATCCCAACTAGGCTGATGCCACGATCCAACAGACTACCAACTTCTGTCCCTTCTTTGACAAGTGGAGCTACTACCACTGTCAACTCCAATACAAGCCTAGCATACCAGGTACATGCTACATTATCAAGTAGGATCAGTCATCTTCAACATCTTCAATCAGGGAAAGATGCCTGTGCCAACCCACTGCATGGATGAAGAGGAATTAGAAGACCAACCAGCTTTCTCTGTCAAGGTTGTAGGTCATGAAAAATTCAAGGTATGTCTCTTGATGCAAATTGACCATTGCATTATATTGCTTTTAGGTAGTCATGAGCATGGCTAACGATATAGAGAGCAACAATGAATTCAATCAGCTCATTTTTGCAGAGGTGCAGACCAGCTCAAAGCACAAGTATTCAGATCATGACAATGCTGACTATGTTACCTCATCCAAGGTTGAGGACTTCGATGATGAATACTTTGACATTGAGGATCACAATTTGAAGTCTTGTATGTTGCCTGCTAAGGAATTGTGTGTTGTGATGGTACATTTTTTTATCTATTTGAACTGTACATTAACTCTTTTGGAGTCACAGACCGATAATGGAGTAGATGAACCAAAGAAATCAAAGGTTGACAGGGATGTGGACCAAGAATCAGGACAGAGGAGCACTACAGCAAGTCAAGCACCTTCAATGAGGACCACAGGCAAGGCCAGCAAACACTCTTGTTACTGAAGCCAAGATCTGCCTTCTGTGCTGATGATGGGCAAGATGTGGGTGAAAGAAATTATGCCTGCTTTCCTTGTGTGCACTGGAAGCTTAGCTGACCCTTGGACAATCTCAGATGAAGAACTCATACAGTCACTGCGAATCATTATCCTGACCATTGCTCCAGACTTTGAGGACCTGAATGACATTTGTCCTGGGATGGCAGTCTTTAATATTGTATTGTTAGTATTATTTACCTTGCTACTTGACTCATGCTTCCTTGGACAGGCATGTCAATGACTCTGCCAGTGGCACAGCAACTTTGGATCCACTGCAATCACTCTTATCACTCACTTCCTTGTCTCAGATCCAGAAATTGGCATGCTGTCTCTTACTCAGGCCCAGGAACTCTGTTCTAAGCTGTTGGAAGGCTTCGCATTTTTATATTCAGACCAAGATTCTCACAAACCAGAGAACATTTTCCAGTCATACTTTGTATTATACCTCCTTGGCCACACACATCTGTGGCCCTGTGGTGATTCTCCTGATGTCCCAAAACTGAAGATCAGGGAACTGAAAAATACAGGCATCAAAGGCACACTAGCCCTTACCTGTGCCATGGTAGTGTATTGCATTTTAGCCCTAGACAGTCAGCTAACTTATTCTCTTTAGTTGCACTGTACTCTTCCCCTGCTCAAAACTGGTGAACTGCAAATTGACACTAAGCACACATCCTTCAGAAAGGCAGCTATCAAGATCCCACTCAAGGTGAACAAGGTGACCAGGAGGGAGTTGTCAGCTGTTTCAGCATTCTCTGAGCAGAATTGTGGCCCCTGCACCAGGCAATATGCTATAGCCACCACTAAGCATGACAATGCTGTGCTCCAAAACATCATTATGGGAGCAACTATGCTCATTCCATACAGTATAGATTGCATGTTAGAGGGAGGGAGCTTTCAATGTGGGGAGGATGACATCAATGATTTAATTGCCACTCTTTGTAAGTCACATTGTTATTTATGCACACTACTAACAAGTCATTGATAGGATCCCATGATTTGGATGTGCTCTCATTCTCTCTCCCCTTCTGCCCTGAGTTGCTCATTGCCAACTACAATCATTGAATTAATTGTGTCTTTTTTTGTGCTTACTTGAGTCACCCTCATTTTGGATTGTTGTAGGCCTATGCTCATTTAATGTTTCAGCACCGCACTGCTTTATCATGAATGCATCGTGTTTTATGTGAGCTGAACAAAAGTAAAAATAGTGAGAATAAGTGCTAAGAAAGTTGCAGTTGATGACAAGTCAGATAGTAGTAATAGTGGGAAAATAGCATAAATAATTGAAAAATAGTACGAAAAATAGTGTGGATAGTAAATGAACCTACTAAAAAGACTATTATTTCTTTTCTGACTATTTTGGTGTGAATAGGACATAAATAGCATGAATAGTATGCAAAATAGTAATGTGTGAATTTGCTGATGCACCTGGAAACCATTGACAGTAGACTCCCTCATCGTATCCCTCACCCATTCCTGTACATTGTCCGCGACTATCAAGAAGCGAAATCAAAGCACAGATGAGGGGAGGTTCCGGATGTGGCTGTCTCATACGTTGGTGCCGACATGGGTCCTTTCAAGAGATTATCCCGGATACGTCTGTGCACCTCGTCGGCGTTGAGGCAGGAGGCGAGGGTGCATAGGGATGAATGTTTCGCGCTAGTGTGCTATGATAGATACCTTCCGGTTCCCACTTCATGCCTCGAGATGGCGGGGCGCACACCCAGCGGACTGTACAAACGGGTAGGTATGTCTACATTTTCCGCAACCAACTCCGCCTCCCCTATCGCGTTCAACATCACACTGCTTCTGTTTATCGCAGCTAACCGTTCCCCCGATACCGGCGCAGGGCTACTAGTCTTGATCAATACCTACTACGGCGCAACACTGATTCTGGACAGAGCCTCGCAACGAACCATTATATGGCGAAACGCAGGCTGGGCATCTGGAGGGTTCTTGTTAGTAGAGGGATGGGAGGGAACGGAGCAGTGGTAGTCGGGACAAGGGATGTCACGCTTGACCCGGCAAGTTTAGAGAGCGTATCAGTGAGGTGCTGACGGATCCCAAGCAACTTGCCACACCCACAGAAGAGAATAATCGTTTCATAGTGTGATTTCCAACCCTCCGAAATCAAAGTTACTTTTGTGTCTCTCTTCAGCCACGGCGTGCTCGCTTACAACTCTAGTTGAAGTGATAGGTTGCGACCGCCCACATACTGACAACGTAATATACGTATGGGACGCGATTGGTCCTAGGGGTTTGTGTCCTTGTTTTGTGTCTGTTAATGTCCTGAGTGCAATGAATAGGAAGAATGTGTTGGAAGTTGGTACGAGACCATCACGGGCTGAATCGCTGTCAGTGCACTTGTACCCAGCACCGGGGACAGGTATGGTATTGAATGAACGAGTTGTTGATTTGGGCTGCCCTCCCGCGTATTGTAGTATCGTACAAGCAACTTCGTATAGTTCATCAATTTGTGAACGTCGTCGCCATCGTCTACGTAAGGTATTTAAGAAATGTCCTTTGCCAGTGGCCCAGGAATAGAACCAGTAAATCATACGAAGGTATGCTTCTTCGCTTTCTCTGGGGGGGAGAGCTGGTTGAGATTCGTCCCAGTGTCCAAGCCTGTAGTGCCATGTGTGAGACACCCCTCGCCTACTAATGCGATAGAGCTCCTACTCTTCCCGCCAGCAGCACGGTCCTTTCCAAAGTTTGGTTTGCAGGAGTTGAACATGCGCTCGGGTAATGGTTCGTTGCGGGTCCGAACCCACTCTGATCCCGAGGACCATAGTGTCGCGCACATTACCCCCAAGACAGTTACATAGCTGTTAATCAAGAGCAGCACTTCGCCGGTGGTCGGGATCCGGTCAGTCGTGATAAAGATGATTTGTGCAATATTGAAGATGAGAGGGAAAACAAAATTGGCGACGGATATATAGAAGATTCGGCGGATACGGTCCGCAATGCTGTGCGCTGCATGTCAGGACATGCATGAGTTATTCATACCGCTACAGAGACGCACGGTGGTATGCTCACCTCTGTTTATCGACGATGTGCGGACGTGGAGGTTGTAAAGGAAAAAGCTAACGGAGTACCTAGAAAAGATGTTCAATGGATCATGTACAGTAGTAGACGGACACCAACTTACAAGTTGTCGACGATTTGCATTGTCCACTCGGCGATCATGTAAGGGTTGCGGAACCAGGCAGTGGACTCATTGTTCTGAGTGAGAGCGTTAGTCGTTATCCCAGACCGAACATAGTCAAGAACGGCAATGGTCTGTGCAAAATGCTGCTCAGCAACGAAACTAAACGTTGATGAAAAACACCCACGATAACGGCCACTCGAGCGCACTTGATGCAGAATGGGAGTGCAAAGATTTTCACTAGAGTAGCGGGAGGTGTACTGCCAAGGGGATAGAGAGCAAAGAGGCGAGTCAACAATATCGAGTCATACAGTAATGGCGAGAAGTAGAGGAAGACAACTGTAGCAATGAAGACACTTGCTGACACCTGACTGAATGGTTCCAATATGTACTTCAGGGTGGTCAAGCCCATCAATACACCCATGGCTAGGACGTGACAGATAGCAAGCACATTTAGTCGGAATACGAGGCGGCGTCGAGACTCTTTGGTTGAAAGTGCAATAAGGACAACAAAGAGGGTAAACAGACAGGCAGAAAAAGCAGTGGTTACCACGATGTAGTCGAAGCCTGGGCGTACGGCGCTCACGAACGCAATAATGATAGCTTCGGAATCCGCCGTTGAGGACATTTGTGGGATGATGCACTTGAATGAATACGCACACATTAACTTAGATATAGTCTACCACATGTACTGGGTGATTGATCGTTGATTTGCACAGCCCATGATGGCAGAATCCATTGAGAAGACTGGTTTGAATCCCTTGAAGGGTTAGTGGCTACGGAGGAAAAGCCTAACAGTGAAACCATACGATTAACAATTGGACGCCTTTCCTCGTGGTTTAAGAGCGCTTTCGTACTCCAGTGGAACCGTTAAGCTGCGTCCCGTTCAGTCAGCCAGATATGCGGGTGAGATATGTAGGTGTTCCACTGGTACAACGGACCCAATAAACACGCCTTGGAAACCTCGCACCCAATTCCGAGCATTGATGGAAGGTTGAGGCACTGATTATCGAACACGAGAAACGGGATGCCGATCGTCAACAGCGTAGCCTCCAGAGGCAGGGAAGAATGGAAGAGCCTGACGTGCCGGTCGATGTTGCTGTGCACAAAGCAACTTGATGGACGAGAAATTACAAGTTACGGTCAAGAATTGATGCAGGCCTTGACGACAACTTGATTTATCATCGATTGCTATAGGCTGATATACCTTCTCCGAATGACTATAATTTTAGGCTTCCAAAGTACCTTGATAGCCTTCAATTTTCAGTCCGCAACGTTTTGTGACCGACAACAGGCTGTGGTACCTGTCAGACCCGGCGGACCAATTGACCTGTGATTTATCCTACGGAAAGTCATCCAGTGATCAACACCCTGCTATTTCTATGGAAAGCCGGACAACCGTGCTTCCATACGGCCGAAATTGGGAAATTTTCTGGCAGCCAGCCTGACGGAGGTGCAGCATGTATTTCGGAGTGAAGGTGCGGTCACCACAACAGGGACATACATTTTTCTCTCATGGCAATCTCATTGTTCTGAGCTACGCACAACCGCGTAACTATCCACGTTCTCGTTCGCTTGCTTAGGGCCCCCACAGATCCACCCTCAGCAGATGGACCATTCAAAATAGGCGTCACCAATGACGCTTGGTCGGACACGTCGTTTGGTGCTGTGAAAACGGCCGAAGTTCTCATCGGATGGGTATTGGTTTCTCTCGCACGCGATGGAAAAGAGCTCTATATCAAATCCTAAATATTGGTTGCTGTTACAGCAGACACTCTTGTCTTCTGTGTCCTCCGTTCTCCCATTGCGACTTGGCTCCTCCTGCTGAGCTATCGTGACAACCTTGCAGGAATTGTCAAGAAACTTATCTCCCTTTCACACGTCCCCGACCTCGATCTTGGCAGTGTATATGCACCTGCACGTGCTGTGCTTGCAACATTATGGCCCTGTGCTGAGAAAAGAGTTGGCATGGATTCTCTGATGGAATGCCTCGCAGCTGTATTTGGCGTGTTCCGTGCCTTGGAACGTGAGTGTGAAACTAACTGTATTTGAGGATGTGCTCTCTCAGAGAGGGTATTCAGGGTGATTCGGTGTGAATATGTATCATGGTAATCAAATTGTACAGGGAGGCGCTTCGGAAATTCGGGATCAAGAAGAAGGTGATCTTCCTACATGCTATCCTCTGTTTGTTTTCCGTGCCAATTTACAAAGACTGGTTATACGTTATATTCCTTTCAACACACATGCTCCATTGGACTTGTACCCTCGCACCCTCTGTACCTTCGCGGTCGTTGAATGCACAATCAAGCCAAGAAGACCTGTCATCGAAAATCTCGAAACAACTTCATGACGCTCTTTACTGTGCAGGTATCGAGGCGCTATTCTCCGTTGAAGGTCTCAGGCAGCTTGCGGACACATTATTGGATGCACTTTCGCGCATGTGCATGGACCACGGCCTTTTCCTCTTGCCATGCCTCTTTTCTGCATGTCTTTGTGCAGTAAATCGCCACCGCACAACGTTTTCCCCTCTTCGTCCGGGTTGGGATCTCCTGCCTTGGTCATTCGTGATGTCGTGCGCGCTGATGCAATGGAGCTCTGGGAGTCCTGTAGGAAAGTCCTTTTATGCGGTACCGTAACGGTGGACCCCAGACCGCAAAGGACGGACGCATGGATGACGCTTGTAGGGATCTTGGACGTGATCGAGGAGGAGCGCTTGTATACCCCGCGCACAACTGTTGGGTCAGGCATTCGGAATACGGCTCGCAGTCGTGATGTGGAGTCTACTTTGATAGAAGCGAGGGAGCTTGCGCCGGTCACCGTCGAGCGCGCGAGTCAGGTTTGTAACTCGAATGACATGTTGGCCGCAGATGCTGTTCAGCGACTACTTTCGGACCTTCTTGATTATCACACTGGGACCCGTACGGTACACGCGTACATCCTCACCCTTCTTACTGCCCTCTCTTCACTCACCCTTCCCGAGTCAGTGTCCTCGCAGTCCCTCCCTGTACCACCGCATGACTTGATGTTCAGTCCGCTGCGGCCATGCCTTCTGTCGCTCACTAGAGCTCTCTATGGTTTTGACCGCTTTACAATCTGTAGAATTGGCGCCGGCTGTTTGGAAGAATTTACGCGGGCGTAGAAAGCATACGCTGCTGAAAGAGGTCAAAGTCGACGCGGCGGTAAGCGATGAAAGACTGATAAAGGGGAGGCGACACCAACAGAGGGACATGCTAATGATGATGGCATGCTGCGGTCGAAGTGTCACTCGCTAGCACTTGCAATTACTTATGTTTCCCGTGTGTCTGGCACCGTTCTCGCTAGCATCTCCCCGTATGCGTATGTCCCCGACACTCGGAATCCAGGAGTCGTATGGAACGAGGTTGGGAAGCTGGGGTGGGTTATCGCCTGGGAGTGTATGCGACACGGACGAGGTGAGTGGCAAGATGCAGATCTCCAACGCGAAGATGAAAGCAAAAGAAAGAAGCACAAGAACTGGCAACGCGAAAGGGAACGACAGGATCCTTATATGCTAGTTTCGGATGACGTCGTCGCTTCTGCTGTGTTGCGATGTCTATGTGATGTCCGTGCTCCGTTGATACGAGTTGCGAGCTCGCCAATGCCTGTGACGCTAGGCCAAAGTGACGTATTAGGAAGTGATGAAATCGCGAAGTTGCTGGGCGTCGTCGGCGACGAAGGCATGTCTGCAAAGTTAGTACTAGAAATTGTGCGTATGGCGTACCTTACTATTCCTCTCTGTGCTAGCTGTATCCACACATGTACAGGTCAGACACTCTGCAAGTTTCCCAAACACGTGGCTTCCAACATCCTCAGGCTGGTGCCATTATCAAGACGAGCATCGATATTTTAATTTGCCACTTCTCTCCTTAAAGTCGATGGTGCGGCTCTTCAGCAATGCTTACACGGGAAAACTTAGGCGTTGCCCTACTTTACATGCTAGCTGATCAGTGGATAGGCGTCATCGAGTCCATTCTTTCGATTGCCCCATATTTATATCTCATCGGAAATGTTGCCCTACTGTAATATTCAGTGCAGCCGCTCGGGGAGAGATGCTCCAGAGGTTCATCTGCCTTCTCTTGACCATTCATTTAGAACTTCCATTTGGAACTACCAACAAACTCGACGGACAACTGGGTCCAGACCATGACATCTCACCCTACGACATTCTTCTCCTTGTTCTGAGGAATGTACAGTTCTGGGAGTTGCCCAATATGCAAGGTGTGATTCGAGCTGGTTGTCTGTTCCATCGAAGAATTTCTTACATTCATCCTTCAGTTCTGCAAGTGCCTTCCTGTCGCTTGCATTAAAGCAGACTGTGCTTCTGTCCTCATCTTGCTTCCTTCCTGGGTCCACTGGGACTAATGGACTTCACGAACTTGAGCTCGTACTTGCGAGTGAAGTTTACACTCCTATTGCATATACCTCCCGAGTACTTCACCCAGGCCTCTTGCATGGAACTTGTGAAGAGAGCTGTTGGTGGTGACGTCGCTATGTGCTCTGTACTTCAGGTCACAAGTGGCGGCAGGTCAGTGGATCGGAGTGGCAGGGAGCACTTGGGGAAGGGGAAGGGAAAGGATATAGTTGATTCACTGCAAAAATCCGATGCTGGGTATGTCATGGACATGGTCGAAGAAGAAGATTCTGGAGTGCGAACGCTCAGAGAACCCTGTTTCCACCATCTCACGGTATTCCGTGCCTTCCCATATTGTATGGGTTAGTTGATGAATGCACTGGAATACACCGTGAATTGGCGGTTTATGTTGTCAGATTCGCTTTCCATTTCCCAGTGATCAAACTTTATTAGACATCTTGTGCATACGTCGAGTATTTACTCAAGTCACTCTCAAAATTGGCCGTGTCGTCAGGTGCACTTGCAAAAGGGACGTCAAACCTTGTTTCGATTCACCTATTGTAAGTTTTTTTACATGCATTTCTGGCCTGGCACAATTACTTGTCATCCTCCATGATTAGAATTCTGAGGCATCAGCAGCAGTGGTCAGCATACTGAGTAGTCTTGTGCTGCTCAACCATTCTCTGATACATCGTCGCAGGGATTTTGGCAACACGTGCTTACCTGATCTGCTGTGTTCTGACTCACTCAATGTCTAAGAGAATACTATACTCCAGAAAGGTGAAATTCACTTCCTGGAAAGCTCATTTGGCATGGCTTCTGACATGTGGACGTAGCCTTTTGACAGTGCTTGTATCTATGCTGAAAACAGTGTACAAATCCTCTGCACCTATCCTCCTTTCAGATGGGGAATGATCTGGAACCAATGGTGCACTCACATCAAGTGAGCACGTTGAAGCTCGCTTTTATGCATTATTGCTTGTGCAGTGGCTAGGGATTGAAAGTGCATGAACTCACTGCTTAGCTCTTACCTAGACAATGGGCTGATCACCTTGACCAGTATATTTGAGAGATGGTAAAGGAGATATGGCTGATGGCTGGGTACAACCTGTGAGTTGTTGAATTTAGGGTGGAGTGTGCATTTAAGTTGGTTAATCAACAATGGTGGGAAACCATCTGGGTGTACATACCATATGAATACAAATGTCAATTCAACATACTATTGCTTATTTTGTACTCTGTGTGTAGAATGCAAAGAAAGTAACAAGGATAAAGTCTATATGTATCAACACTAGGAAATATAATTGAAACATTCCTGCCATTTGTTTCCATGAACCATTTCACTCAAGTCCAGCTCCACACAACAACCACTAGGAATGATTAATTTGGTATGCATTGAATAAAATGGGGTCTGCAGAGATGTTGGTATCCATAGAAGCAACCTCCCTTGTGGGCCTCTGATCCACCCATCATGGTGCAGTAGGACTGGTTGAGTGATGTCCTCATATATGTGGTCATCAAGAAGTTGTCCAGTGTCAGATGATGCATGTGATGAGACAGATGAAAAGCAAATGGGATGTGTCCCATAAATCTGAGTGGCTGTCAGAATAAAGTCAGATACTGTAACAGCATATGTACAGATAGCTGTGAATAATGTGCTCACCATTAACATGTAACATAGTAGGAATACTATTTCCATCTCGAGAGATCTCAATATTTTTGCAATCTGAGCCAGAAATAATCTTATTGGTATCAGAGGAGAATGTAACTGAGTTAGAATGCTGGGTATGCCCCTGAAGAGGGCTACTGACCTGAATTCCACTGCTTGCATTCCAGACCCTCACAGTATTATCCCCTGAGCCTGAAACAATCCTGTTGCCATCAGGGGAGAATGCAACTGAGGTGACCCAATTACTATGCCCCTTCAGAGGGCTGCCAATCTGAATCCCACTCTTTGCATCCCAGACCCTCACAGTTTTGTCCCAAGAGCCTGAGACAACCCTGTTGCCATCAGGGGAGAATGCAACTGACCTGACATGATGAGTATGCCCCTTCAGAGGGCTGCCAATCTGAACTCCACTCTGTGCATCCCAGACCCTCACAGTATTATCCCAGGCACCTGAGACAATCCTGTAGCCATCAGGGGAGAATGCTACTGAGGTGACCCTACTAGTATGCCCCTTCAGAGGGCTGCCAATCTGATCTGCAGTCTTTACATCCCAGACCCTCACAGTCTCATCCCAAGAGCCTGAAACAATCCTGTTTCCATCAGGGGAGAATGCAACTGACCTGACATGATGAGTATGCCCCTTCAGAGGGTTTCCAATCTGCACCCCACTCTTTGCATCCCAGATCCTCACAGTCTTGTCCCAAGAACCTGAAACAATCTTGTTGCCACCAGGGGAGAATGCAACTGAGGTGACATCCTGAGTATGCCCCTTCAGAGCAATACCAATCTGGAGTCCACTCTTTGTATCCCAGACCCTCACAGTCTTGTCCTCTGAGCCTGAAACAATCCTGCTGCCATCAGGGGAGAATGCAACTGCACTGACCCAATTACTATGCCCCTTCAGAGGGCTGCCAATCTGGGCACCACTCTTTGCATCCCAGACCCTCACAGTGTTGTCCCAAGAGCCTGAAACAATCCTGTTGCCATCAGGGGAAAATGCAACAGAGGTGACACTGTAAGTATACTGCTGTAAGGCAAGCTGCACAGCTGGCCAGCCCTTCAAACCCCCTTGGGCAACTTGCACAAGGTGGGAGAATTTGGGCATTAGTTGTCTGGACAACAAGGAAGTAGAAGGTGCAAGTGGCAGTGCAGACAGGTATAGGTGTGGTGCACTGCATGAAATTGCTGTGGTAAAGGTTTGCAGAAGTTTGACCCCATCCATTGCTAATGCCACTAGTACTTCACAGCCTGCATGGCCCTTTACATGACATCAGATGACATTCAATGTCACTTGCCAACTGGAGTACTTACCTGTAACCATTGGACTGTGATTGCAAGAGAGGATTCAGCACTTCCCAATGCTCCAAGAAGGCTGAGAGCCTCAATCCAGAACAGGATTTTTTCACTCTCTACAATGGCCTGCACAGATGTTGCAAGGGACAAGTCAAACCTGGCTACCTCCAAATGCTTCGCCCAGAACTTGCATGAGTAGGACAAGTGTTGTGGAATATTTGAATTGATTCTCTCTAACAAGTCAGGAATTTGGGAGTTACTGAGGTACGAGTTTTCCAGCCCACAGATGTTGAAAGACAGTTCCTTGTACAGCACTTGCAGCGAAGCATGGGCAAGGTCGCTTGGGTCAGAAGTGTCGATGAAGTAGGGCCCACTTCGTAAAGGATCGGTTAGGAAGTCATTGAAGGATGCATGGAGGGGTTGGACAGGTAAGGTGTGGTCAGAAATTCCACCCAGCACTGGAGCCATGAACTGAAGGATTATGACTACGTCATAGTGCTCTTCCTCACTTGGGAAGAGAGTGCGCATATGATTCAATGCCGCAATCGGCAAAGGTTCCAACACCATCAAAAGCTGTCGCATAACCGAGCGGAACCGCAGAAATGGTGTCCCCGACTTCGGCATGATGCTGTCTAGGATGGTAGAATACATGCCGTCCAAAAGTGTCTTCCCCTCGTCCGATGGGATGGCTATCAGGCTCGTGAATCGTTCTTTCACAGTTTGACCGAAGGCGCGATTCGGGCCGACAAACTCGCAGGCCAGACGTGCCCATTCGAACAAGCCATTCGACATGTGGACTATCCGCCGTATCTCCGTGGGCCCAATGGTGTCTCTGAGGCTAAGAAGTTTCTTCGAAACAAATAAAGTGATGTCACGTTCCACCAGCTCTGCAGGGACATCATCCAAACACATCGCTCTGACGTGAATGGCACCGCGTAGAGCACGTTCGATGTTCGGTAAAGGTCGGGACGTTAACAGGATGCGGAAATTCGAAGGTAGGTTTGCAGCTTCTGTTGATGTCAGAAGCAACAGAATATTCTCCCTCCATGAGACCCCGCCGCTTTCATCTAGTGCATCGATCACCACCACTACATTCCCGACAATGCCACCAGCAGCCTCCGACAATGGCTCCAAGATCAGTTTTTGCCACTGTTGCAACAAGTCGGGCGTCGCCTTCAGAGAGGGGTCCTCAGCGAGAACGCGGCCTATTGCTCGCCGGAACGCGGGGTAACGGCTGGCCAGATCGCGGGAAATAGTTGTCAACATCTTCTCTTCCCGACACTCAGCCTGCTTGGCACGGACAAAACAAAAGCAAGACCCAAGCCCTCCCACGTCCTTGAGCCAGGATGCAATGGTATGGGCGATTACAGATTTGCCCCTTCCAGCCTGCCCGTGAAGCCATAAGATGCGTGGGGCCTCGGGGTGAGTATCATTGACCCAGTTGATGACGTCCTGCAGAATCTCTGTCCTCGTGTTCTCTAGGCATTTCTTCATCGTATCCAAGCCCGCCCCACCTGCGTAAGCCATGCCCTCCATGTTCAGGTCCTCGAGAACGCGATACACATTGATATGGATGTCCCGGCTCTGGCGGTCTCGATATTGCTGCATCAACTCGTCTAGCGTCTTGGTGTAGTCGCCGATGGCAGTCTGCGTCTCAGACATTATGTTCTTTCCGAGTCTCTTCCCTGAGAAAGTATGAGGTCAAAGTCTCAACAAGATAAAAACAGACGTACAAAAGCTTGTTGTTTCTGAATAGTCTCTGATGAACTGTACACAGGCACTGATTACCTGCGCAATCTTCGCCAACGGGACTCTCATGGAATCAATGTTCTTGATGGTGTCCTCGTCCGAAAGGAATGCGTACACAGAGCCAACTTTTTTCAAGAGCTCCGAAATCGCACTATCTAGGTTCGCTTGCGTGATGATCAACTGGCGCAAGGGTGGTGTGAGTAAAGAGAGTAGATAAAGGACTCCAAGTCATACTTGGGAAGCGGCTGTGAGGATGCCCAACGCCATCTGGGCGTAGGGATGGACCTGCGCGGCATCGTTGAGTCGCGGGATGGATGCCAGAACAAATCTACGCACGTTCTCAATGGTGGTGACCACATTGTTAAAGAATTTAAGAGGTTGGAGATAGGTGCTACTCAAGTTCTGAAGGTCAACAGCCATAGCATTGGCCTGTGCAACAATGTTGATAGCATTCTCGCCCGCACGGGGGATGGGTGTTATGCCTTCGAAAACTTGACGAACAACTTCCAGGTCATCACCCGCCAAAGCTGGGTCAGGATCAGGACCTGATTTACTGGGCAGCCCTTGAGTCTGTGAAAGATAGACGCTTAGCATCGTTGCAGTGCAGGACGTCGTAGATCACATACATCAGAATCTTGGGCAACTTGTCGCGGTTCTGGGTCTTCCTGAGCCCATTCAGATGCAATGGGATCGGCAGAGGAACTTGATGGGCCTCGGTGAGACCGGATGAGGCGACTTTTCATAGCGGCCAACTTGACTTTAAAGCCATAACTCGAATGACCAGGATTCGATACAACGCCTCCAACAGGAACCTCAGACTGCCCTTGAGACTTGTGTTTGCCGATCCATTAGTCTGGTGCACTGGCAAAAACAGATTGCTTACTGAAGTGAGGTCAGGCACTGATGAGGGAGACTTTCCAATATACGGTAAGCGATGTTTTTTGGGCTGGAGCCTGGCCATTGAGAAATCGGTAGTTTGGATGTGATATGTACTGTGAGTTGGATTGCAATGTCGTTTGGGTATTGAGACGAGCAGCGGTACAGTGCCACCTGCTGTGTAGGTGTCCCGTGTACAAGTGTAGTTGGACTCTTCCCATGTCATGATAGCCACGCTCAGCTCGCTCGTTCTCCTGTCTCTGTCCTCCTTCCATCCCACCAAACCCCTTCGCTCAAGCGTCGACCTTTTCCATCCCACCTTGCATGCCCGTGTGGAGAGTGTCACACCAGATGGTCAAATACCTTTAGTGTGGGCCGTAACCACCGAACGGCAGCAACAGCAGGGGATATACCATGCGTCGTACATTGAAAGCGTGCAGAGACTTGTCTTCCACCGCGCTCACTCGGACTACGCTACCAGCCTTGTGTCTGCACACGGTTGAATTTATGAGTGGTACTAACTTGCCACCGAATACCAAGTGGCTGGGCCAAGGCGCAGCGGCCCGCCAAACGCCACGGTTCCCAGGTTAGGCACCGTCGACTGACAACACATCGTCCCGGGATTTCCATTCTACTACGCGTAAGCCTCCTATTTCCTCGCGATAGTATTCTGCACTTTTCTTAGTGTTGTCTTGCCTTCGAGACAACTACAAACAGTCACTAATTTCACTACAAACCCAGCTCCTCAATTCCCCGTAGAACTCCTTCCCTAACATCAATTCGGGTGCATTTTCCTATGTAGCGTGCACGTCGGTGGTGTCGCCTGGAAACCATTGACGGTAGACTTCCTCATCGCATCCCTCACCCATTCCCGTACATTGTCCGCGATTGGCAAGAGGTGAAATCAAAGCACATATGAGGGAGGCGACAGGAGAGTTTCCACATGCGGCTGTCCCATACGTTCGTGCCGGCATGGGTCTTTCTACGAGTTTATCCCAGACACATCTGTGTACTCGTCGGCGTTGAGGCAGGAGGCGAGGGTGTACATGGGTAAATATATCGCGCTAGTGTGCTATGATAGATCGCTTCTAGTTCCCACTTCGTGCCTCGAGATGGCAAGGCGCACACTGTGAACTGTACAAACGGGTAGGTACGTCCACATTTTCCGCAACCAACTCCGCCTTCCCTATCGTGTTCAACATCACACTGCTCGTGTTTATCGCAGCTGACCGTTCTCCTGATACCGGCGAAGGGCTACTAGTCTTGATCAATAACTACTATGGCACAACACTGATTCTGGGCAGAGCCTCGCAACGAGCCATTATCCGACGAAATACAAGCTGGATGTCTGGAGGGCCCTTGTTAGTCGAGGGATGGGAGAACGGAGCGGTTGTAGTCGGGACAAGGGATGTCACGCTTGACCCGGAAACTTTAGAAAGCGTATCAGTGAGGTGCTGACGGATTCCAAGCAACTTGTTACACCAAGCGTGATTTCTAACCCTCCGAAGTCGAAGTTACTTTCACGTCTCTCTTCAGCCACGGCGCGCTCGCTTACAACACTAGTTGAAGTGATAGGTTGCGACCGCCTATATCCTGACCACGTAACATATGTATGGGATGTGACTGGTCCTAAGGGCTTGTGTTCTTCCTTTGTGTATGTTAAAGTCCCAAAGTCAATGAATAGGAATAACGTACGGGAAACTGGTGCGAGACCATCAAGGACTGAAGCTCTGCCAGTGCACCTGTGCCCGGCACCGGGGATAGGTATGGTACTGGATGAACAAGTGGTTGATTTGGGCTGCCCTCCCGCGTATCGTAGTATCGTACAAGTAACTTCGTATAGCTCATCAATTTGCGAACGTCGTTGACAACCTCTATGTAAGTTATTTAAGAAATGTCGTCTGCCAGTGCCCCAAGAATGGAACCAGTAAATCATATGAAGGTATACTTGTTCGCTTTCTCCGAGGTGGAGAGCTGGTTGAGATTCGTCCCAGTGTCCAAGCCTGCAGTGCCATGTGTGAGAGACCCCTCGCCTACTAATACGATAGAGCTCCTACTCGTCCAGCCAGCAGCATGGTCCTTTCCAAAGTTTGGTTTGCAGGAGTTGAACATGCGCTCAGGTAATGGTTCGTTGCGAGTCCGAACCCCACTCTGATCCCGAGGACCATAGCGTCGCGCACATTACCCCCATGACAATTACATAGCTGTTGATCAAGAGCAGCACTTCGCCGGTGGTCGGGATCCGGTCAGTCGTGATAAAGATGATTTGTGCAACGTGGAGAATGAGAGGGAAAACAAAATTGGCGACAGATATACAGAAGATTCGACGGATACGGTCCGCGATGCCGCCCGCTGCATGTCGGGAAATCCACGAGTTATTCCTACCCCCACAGAGACGCAAGGTGGTATGCTCACCTCTATTTATCGACGATGTGCGGACGTGGAAGTTGTAAAGGAAAAAGCTGACGGGGTACCTAGGAAAGATGTCCAATGGATCGCGTAGTAGAGAGACACCAACTTACATGTTGTCGACGATTTGCATTGTCCATTCGGCGATCATGTAAGGGTTACAGAACCTGGCACTGGACTCATTATTCTGAGTGAGAGCGTTAGTCGTTATTCCCAGACCGAACATAGTCAAGAACGGCAATGGTCTGTGCAAAATGTTGCTCAGCAATGAAAATAAACGTTGAAGAAAAACACCCACGATAACGGCCACTCGAGCGCACTTGATGCAGAATGGGAGTGCAAAGATTTTCACTAGAGTGGCGGGAGGCGTACTGCCAAGGGGATAGAGAGCGAAGAGGCGAGTCAACAATATCGAGTCATACAGTAATGGCGAGAAATAGAAGAAGACAACTGTAGCAATGAAGACACTTGCTGACACCTGGCTGAATGGTTCCAATATGTACTTCAGAGTGGTCAAGCCCATCAATACACCCATGGCTAGGACGTGACAGATAGCAAGCACATTTAGTCGGAATACGAGGCGGCGTCGAGACTCTTTGGTTGAGAGTGCAATAAGGACCACAGAGGGTAAACAGACAGGCAGAGAAAGCAGTGGTTACCACGATGTAGTCGAAGCCTGGATGTACGGCGTTCACGAACGCAATAATGACAGCTTCTGAGTCCGCCGACGAGGACATTTGTGGGGTGATGCACCTGAATGAATACGCTCACATTAACTTAGATATAGTCTACCACATGTACTGGGTGATTCATCGTTGATTTGCACAGCCCATGATGGAAGAATCAATTGAGAAGACTGGTTTGAATCCCTTGAAGGGTTAGTCGCCACGGAGGAAAAGCCTAACAGTGAAACCATACGATTAACAATTGGACGCCTTTCTTCGTGGTTTAAGCGCGCTTTTCGTACTCCAATGGCACCGTTAAGCTGTGTCCCATTTCAGTCAGCCAGAAATTCGGTTGGATATGTAGGTGCTCCACCGGTACAACGGACTCAATAAACATGCCTTGGAAACCTCGCGCCCAATTCCGAGCATCGATGGAAGGTTGAGGCGCTGATTGTCAAACACGAGAAACGGGATACCGATTATCAACAGCATAGCCTCGAGAGGCAGGGAAGAATGGAAGAGCCTGACGTGCTGGTCGATGTTGCTGTGCACAAAGCAGCTCGATGGACGAGAAATTACAAGTTACGGTCAAGAACTGATGCAGACCTTCACGACAACTTGATTTATCATCGACTGCTATAGGCCGATGTACCTTTTCCGGATGGCTTATAATTATAGGCTTCCAAAGTACCTCATCAGTAAGCGAATATATGGGTTAAACCTGTTACTGACTGGTCGTGACCGTGATTCCACCATTCCCTGTCTCCCTGATGCTTGATAGCCTTCAATCTTCCGTCTGCAACGTTTTGTGGCAGACAACAGGCTGTGGTATCTGTCAGATCCGGCGGGCCATTGCCATCACCCCTGAGCGAGGGAAGCTGTGATTTATCCTACGGAAAGTCATCCAGTGACATAAATGCATAGGACCTAGAACCGAGATTAACAATCCGGCTATTTCGGTCCAGCGAAAACTCGCGGGACAAGGTAATTTTCAGACCGGGACGGGGATGCGTCCAGGAACGCGCCACTACTCGGGGCATGGGTCACAGGACGCCCGATTACCCGTAGCGATGCAGGAGTTCTGTTTCAGACAACTAGATTCTACTTCGAGATATCCTACTGTTGGAAATATTACTATATGTTCCGACGTCTAGATTGATCCAGACTTACATGTGTATCAACATGTTGTTCATCACATGACATTCCTTAGCAATCAGCTCCACAATGATGTCATTCTGACATCATATTATACGTCATATTCCATGACCTTCCATGCTGTTCTTTACTATACTGAGTAGTAGTTTCCTTTTACGCTCTTGGTCCGTGCGTACCTACTCATGTATATAAACTTGGGGATTTCTTCCTCAATCCCCATCGAATCAAATCAAGTATTCGATACTTCACTTGTCTACTCGACAACTGAGCCCCTCAAACACTCAAAGCTTTTACTTCAAACGCTACTACCTTTCTGAATAAAGGCAAGTGTTCGTGCCTAGCTCTTTTATTGCTTCCCGTTCCTCTGCGCAATAGGTTATGAGCCCCGCCCTATACTAGGCGGTCAGCTATTTGCGGTATTTGCATAGAACGATCACTGCCGACGGGCATATCACTATGGATATCGTAGGCCTAGAAGCGCTAGGATCGGTAGTAGTAGTCTTCGCTGTCGCTATTGTGGCAGGCCTTAATCAGGCCATTTTATTACTTCATTATGGTGGACATGACCCGCGGTTCCTTCGGGAAATTGCCATACGCTCTATAGCGTTTTGGCTTTCTTTTCTAGGTCTCTCCGCTTGGTGGCGAAGGCGACAATTGTTGCTTCAAGAGCAGATTGTTCGCAGGCTGCTTTTACAGCGCCTTTTAGTTCGTCCACCTACTCCTCCACCTCATTACTTACACTTTCATCTCCCCGATATCGATCACGACGCCGACCTTGACCCGGTTCCGCCCTATGATGTGGTTGAAGCGCGTGACCCGCCTTCTCCTCGTCGGGCACCTACCCCTCTTCCTGAGGAAGTTGCGGCTGTCAACGAATTGTTGGAGCCACAGGTCGTTCTCGCTGTCGCTGACGACATCGCTGAGTTCGATTTACTCTAACTTTCGTTTGCTTTGTCGCCGAACTGGACTAATCTATTTAAAAAGATGTCTTTGGTCGTTGCAAAGAAACTCGAACTCACTATCGCTGAGCAAAGAGATGGAATGTATGATGTAAAGTGGAGAAAGTATGCGGTCAAAGAGATTATAGAATATACTGAGATGATTTATGTACGGGATTGCGCCAATTGGAGAGAGGCCGTACCGTCGAGCGTCGGGTTCTTCAAAAAACCCAATCCTGCGACTTATCTCGTTCCCATTGACACCGTGGAAACAGCGTGGCAGACTATGCCCCACTTTCCCGGGTTCGAATCGCCTTACTTCTATCCTGGCATCCATCTCGCCTATCACGGGTACCTCACCGACTTCTTCCCAAAACTTTCCCATACCTCGTCTCCGCACGCCATAGCTAATTTTAACGGGTGCGATCTTCCTTCAGCTTACTATGAAGATCCTGCCCTCGACTCTGTTCCCGCGTTTACCGTTACCCACGACACATTCGTCTACGTATACTACAACGTTCATCCCCTCTACGATCCCTGTTTCAACAGCCTCATCCCGTCTCTCCGCCTTTGAACCGCCATCTGGAGTTCCATTTCCGAGGAGTTTGGGATGACGGATCAACGGATGTCCGATGTGTCCCAAGATGGTATCGGGAACGACGCTGCGGAGGAGACCGCTTTGATAGCAGTCTCTTTAGGTTTATACGACGGTATAGGGATGAAGCGGATGTGGGAGTTACCTTGCGATATAACTCTGCTAACCGGCATCTTCAGTGGGGTTACGGTCCCACTAACGCAGAATTCGCTTACTGGCCAGGAACAGAGGAGATTCTACGCGATCTCGAACGTGTCATGGATGACACTACTTACGACTATCTCGCAGCTCCCAGACCTCGCGGAATACGCACCACGGCTCTTAGCAGAGCTCGTGAAGCTCTCGCCATACGTCGCAAATTATCCTCTTCCAAACTCTCTGGACGCACCGTACGCATCAGGCGGCCGAAACCACTCGGCAACTAATACTTGCGTACTATATGAATCATACAATGTATTTGAAGTTTTAGTTAAGGACAAACATTTTCGTCATTCTTATGCTCTCAATATTCCATATTCGTGTGCGGATCCTTATTTAGGATTCAGTGCCGATGGAATTCCGTTACATGACTGTAATTGGAGTTTCATGGCTTATCATTATTTTGCTCCGCTAGACTTTTTAAGTCTAGAGCGAAATAATTCTCGCATCTCCTCGTGGAGATTCGCTGAGAAAGGCACACAGGCACCGAAAAACAAAATGGAGAAAAGACGAAATCCCCGTCCTTACTATATCAATACTTGTAGACGCAAGCGCCGTCCATCTCAGAAGGCTAGAGCAGCCGCTCGCCGAATCAAAATTCGCGGTCATGAATTAAATCCTCCATCCTTTTCGACTCATCCAACTCAATCCTACCTTTACGAACATCTTTTAATGGACTTTTGATCCATAGATGTCCGAAGGTCTCTCCAAGCAAATCCCAAAACTTAACGGATTGAACTGGGCCTCTTGGTCGGTTCTTATGAAAGCCTATATGCAAACCCTTGGCATCATGGGTGTAGTTGACGGCACAATCGCACAACCAGCAGCCGGAGATCCTACTCTCCCTGCTTGGATTACTTCGGATACCTGCACTCAGGGTATTTTGACCTTATACTGCGATCCAATGATCGCAATGTCAATCGATGGACATGCGACTTCTCATTTGAAATGGGAAGCTCTCAAATCAGCATACGGCGCTCCTTCGGCCATGACGACATTCATGGAATTTCAGCGGCTCATCCGCATCCAAATAAAACCGAAGGATGACATCATGCAGAAGATCGCGGAGATCACTATGCTTATTTCCGCTATCAGCGCTCAGGGCATTGCCCTCAATGACAAAATGAAAGCGCTAATCTTAGTCCGTTCGATGACTCAAGCCTGGGAACAGGCACCGGTCAATATTTTATCGTCTATTGCCGCCGATCAACTTTCCCCTGATACGGTCATACCTCGTATGAAAGAAGTCTGGGCCCACAAATCGGGCAAATCTATGCTTCCCCAACAGGAAAAGGCTGGGTCGTCATCGACCACAGTCAAACAAGAATCCAATTCACTTCTGGCACGCATGAATAAGCCGCCACTCTGTCAAATTTGCAGAGGCGGACATAATACTTCCGATCATCAATCTGGATCAGGCTCTGGATCCTTTCGCGGTTACCGTGGAGGTCGCGGAAGAGGTCGCGGAGGTCGTGGACGTGGACGTGGAAACTATACTCCCTATCAGCAAGCACCACAGCAGTCAGGTTCTGGTTCTCGTGGCCGAGGCCAAAACCGTCGCCGAGGCACAGGGCAAAGCCCGAGCCCATAACGTAGAAGTCGAAGGTGCTGAACCTATCGACACCGCTTATCTGGAAGAAATTCCAGAAGAATGTTACGGCCAAAATTCCTATGAACCCCGAA